GAGAGTTTCAGCCTTAGTATTATTATTTTTTATGAAGATCTTAAATCTTTCATTTCAGTTCTGTTTTTTCTCTAAAACTCAGCAACTTTTTTAATAATTTTATTAATTAGGGTATCCCCTAGTCGACTCCCGGTTATAGCACTTTGACTTGTTCAAATTAAAAAAGTCAATTTATAATTGACACCGATTCAAATGCTTCAAATTCAAGTCTAACGCTGTGTTTCCATATGGCTCGCATGCATCGAATAAATCTCCTCGAAAGAGAAGCTGCAATCGCGGATACAAATTTACAGGGCCTGCGCCCTGAGCAGGACTCGACGCGCGACAGGACGCGACACGTCACGACACCAATTGACTGCCATATGCACATAACTAAGCAGTTGCTCCCCAAACAGTTGACAACCGACCCAGGCGGGGGCGGGCGGGCGGTAGGACTGGGCGGTCAGAACGTCGGACTGCTGCTGCCGCATTGCATTTTTTATGGGCGGGGCGTACTACGTTTTTTTGTCGTTTTGTTTTTTGGTCGTACTGCTGAATAAACTCCCTACTGAGTCAGCATAACTAGAACTAGGCTGCTAACGGATTATGAGGACATGCCGCAGGGCGTCAGGCTTACTTTTCGATGTCGCGTACGTGAATAACAGCACGGGCACGTTTAGAGCAGGGGGCTGAGGGGAGTACAGGCAGGCCGGGCAGGGACAGCGACTGTTGCAGCGTCACTGAAAAGGGGAAGGGGGTAATACGGTGGAAAAATAGTAACTCTGCTCTATTATGAATAGAAGTAGCAGAGCAAAAGGAACGAACAAAAAAAGAAAACCTTAATGTGGCAAATAAAAAACGATACGAAACGAAAATGAAATTGTGTACGGGGCGGGGCGCATGTCCCGGACCCGGCCCGCCGCTGATGATGGTGATTTGTTTTTTTCTCGCTTTTGACATTTGCCAACTTTGTGCGGGTTAATAAAATGTTGTATTATGTCATATTTTCTGGCCAGCGCAAATGTAATTGTACAAAATCTGCTTAGCGGGATGGATGGCTCTGGCGTTGGTTACGTAAACTATTTTTGTGCTCCGGATCCTAGGTGGATTGGACGGCTGCCAACAGATAATTGGAAAAGTTTTCGCGGTGGCCATAACTGTAGCTAAGGCTAGACACAAAAAGCGCAACGCATCGGATGCTAACTGCAAATATGTTCCTGGTCGAGAGTCCTGGTTTTGAAAAACTCTATGGCCCGGTCCGATAATTATTTATGCGATTCTAGCGCGTATTTCCTGACTTTTCTCTGATCAAGCTTATTCTTTAAATTCAGAAATTACTTTTCCATTTATTTCTCAACCAGAATAAACAAATTAATTTAAGAACAAGAGTGTCAATATTTTCCAAATATTTATCTGACTTCCTGGTGTATCTTGGGCATTGATAGCCCTTCAGTCAGTCAGTTTGTAAATCCGTCGGGACAAATAACTTTGTTATATACACTTCTTGGTATTTCCAGATCGTACCCTATTCATGTTTCTTATTATAAACATAGACGTCCACTATGAACTTGAACCATCTTGAACTCCATGTTGTACATAAATATTTAAAATGAGTTTGAAGTCCATTGAAACCAAAAGTCAACGTTAGTTCTGACCCGTAAAAATTGTTGTAACAAGATGTTTTAAAATTAATTGAAAGGCGTTGGCAGAAAAATAGCTAAAAGCTGTGTATTCGCGTTCACATTGGGTAACTACAGTTAAGACATTTGCTACCCAGCTCCTGCCAATCAACAATCAGCCAGTTATTCAGGACACACAGTTGTATAGACAGAGACTTCTTGTCAAAATATGGTTCGGTCAGGTTGAGCCTCGGCTATTTGTTAGCCAAGTATTTCAATTGAAATTTTGCCTTAAAACAAGTTCGGTTGAAAACCAATTTGCAACATTGAAAATTTGCTGGAAAATATTCAAAATTGTTAAGCTGCACAAGTTAGCTAATGCTGCCAAGAAGACCAAGGAGAGCCAAAATATATTTGAGAATGTTATAAAGCACATTTAGAATTTAACTTGGTTTATTTTTTGTGGTTTTCGGACGAGTGTGTGGATGGTCGTTGATTGTTGACGACTTCAATCATTTCATAAGTCTATTTATTATTTCTGAGCAGCATTTCGCATATTCTTCAATAATTTGTGAGTTTCTACGTGCCAGCCGAAAATACCTGAGCAAAGCAATTTGCATTTATTTTTGCCAAACTGCAGTGCAACGAAATGCAGCTCACATAGCGGCCAAATCTGAGGCGGCTACGTGTGGCAGTAAAAAGTGAGATTTTACCTGTTACCAGTCGGAATTTATATTAAACTGTAGAAGGACGCGGCACGTGAAGCAGCGCGTGGGGCGGCTGGCTGATGCGAATATGTCGAAAATGTTGCCCAGAATTTCGGTGCTGCGTTGGCAAAGAGCCAAAGGCCTTTGGTCTGGGGCTGCAGATGTTTGCGGTGCTTACTTTATGAGTCGGCCGACAAATATTCCCTTCACTGCACTCTAACGCGTTCTTCCTGCTCTTTTCGTTCCAGTTTTCGCATCAATCGCATTGAATCGCCCATATTGAAGTACGAGGGAGACTGCGGCGAGTCGCTGACAATATACGATTCGGATCATGCGGACCCCGCGCGCATAATCAAAACATTCTGCGACACCTTCTCACGTCCCATGGAGAAGGTGGACTTTGTGAGCACCAGCCCCTCGCTGTACGTCCAGTTCGACTCCAAGACGGGCAGTTATAGCGGCAGCTCGCTCTATTACTGGGCGCACTATGACTTCTTCAATAACACACGCTTCGGTGATCCGGTGCCCAACACGCTCTGCGACGAGATAATGTACGCATGGAAGCATTCCGGAGGACGCCTGCGCTCCCCGCTCAACTCACTCATTTTCAAGCGAACCGGCGGCAGCGATGTGCGCTGCCAATACAAGTTTGTGACGGATCGCCGGCTCTATGCCAGGGCAATTATCGAAGTGAACTCGGTGTCCTTCAAGGAGCTGCCTTACAACAGCAACGCCTGCACGCGCTGTCACGAGGAGCGAGTGGACAAGCTGGTTATCTGGGAGGAGCGCGACAAGTTCCAAAACAACTTGGCCTGCTTCTGCGACAACATACCGAGGGCGGTGCGTGTTATATCCTCAGCGGATCAAATGAATCTAGAGATGATTGTGCAGGGTCAGCATGCGATTACCTCGTACTTTAAGAATCCCAATCCATTGTTCGAAGCGACATATGAGTTTGCGCATGGTCCGCTTTGTGGACCCATCACCTTGGGCCCCTCACCTGATGGCGAACTCGTCTTTCCCTACAAGAAGGCACTGGCCATGGTGGCCGGGCCTATGGCACCACCGGAGCACCATTATCGCCGGGAGAAGTGCATCTGGGAACTGAAGGTGGCTGCTCAGCGGGATTTGTGGCTTAATCTGGAAAAGGCTCGGTTTGCTGAGCGCAGTTGTGAAAGCGCCAAAATTGAGGTTTATTTGGCCGGACGCCTGGAGCCGCGTTTCGTGGTTTGCCCAGAGAACATTTCGCTGGCCAGAGATCTGCCCATACTGACCACAGCTGAGCTCGGCGCCACAGGCGCAGATCAGGAGCCACTGCCGGTGCTCATTCAATACACGGGCGACGGCCAGCCAGGCAAGAACATCTTCCGACTGGTCTGGACCGAGCTGTTCCACTTGCCCCGCAATCCCGACGGTAGTCTGGCCGCGTCTCTGTTGCAGGACGGCGGCTGTGACTTCCGCTGTCCTGGCGACACCCAGGTCTGTATTCCACGACATCTGCTCTGCAACGGCATCGCCAACTGTCCCAATGTGACGCACACCTCGACGCTGGCCCAACTAACGCGGCACATTGAGTGGAATCTGGAACAGCTCGGCCTGCTACACCACGCCGGCGAGTATCGCCAGCTCGTCCTCCACGACGAGTCCCCAGAGATTTGCCTGCGACGCGATCTCAGCGAGCTGCCCTATGGCAAGCTCGCACTCATCACGCTCGGCATCTGTGCGGTATTTGCTCTGCTGATTGCCATCTTGCGACGCATGTGCCGCGGGGCGCCGAAGCAGCCGGGACTACAACACCTGCAGGAGGATTACTAAGGCGCACTTCTCTGCAAGCTTTGGCTGAGTTTTCTGCAGAGTGCGGTCGAAATTTGTATCAAAGGTCTATTCAAGGACTTGGTATACATTTGAAACTGGGAGTTAAAGATGGATTTTCATTTCAGAGAATATTAAATAACTTATAATACTGAACCTGAACGCATTTAATTTTGCATTCCTATCAAACTGCGCTGAAGATTCAGATATTCGTTTGATACTTGTCGGCATGATGTTTGCTCACACTGCCATTCATCAGTATTCGCCTCCCTGAGTTCTTTGCACTATTCTCTCAGTTTGATTTCACTTAATTCCTCTATGAATAAACGCAATGATTAATAGCGAACACTTATGTGTATATGTAAGTAGTTTTACAAGCTGAAATCCATAAATTCTACCGTGAACTTTACGTGACAGCTATTGAATATTAATTGAATAATTATATACGATAAAAGCTCAAAACATATAAATGTTTTAAAAACACACACACACATGACACAAACCAAAAAATGATTAACTGCCCTGATTAAATTAATTAAGCGTAAAATTGTCACGTGATAATTGTTAAAAAAAAAAAAATAAAAATAAAGAGAGAATAGTTTAACGAGAAGCTAGAAATTAATTAAGGTAGACAAGTAACACGACAAAGAAAAAGCAAAAAAAAAAGAAAATGCAAAAACAAAGAAATACCAGATAAAAGAAAATTCATATAAAAAATTGTTGGTGGTTTTATTAGTTAATATACATACATGTGTATCAATAAAATACAATTTATTATTATTATTATTGGCAAATTGTCAATCGAAAAACAAAGCGTACATAAGTAAATGCATACTTAAATAAATATGTATATAATGTACGATATACAATACATATATATTTTTTGCACATAGATTTACCTAGACCATAACAACAAAAAAAAAGTTAAAAGGAGAAAAGAATCCATTTTAATTGGTGGTCAAAACTGCCCAGAAAAAAATGGCAAACTTTTGAAGGATTCAATTAAATACCATAATTAAAACCTTTGAAATTTCCGAATATACTAAACGAAATTGTAAAATGGTTCTAGAAACTAAGTCGTATTACATATATTTAAGTCGTATTACAAAGACACAGTTGAAAAGGCATTGTAGCGGTGGAGTAGAAGAGTTAAGCTTTCAATTTCAGTTTTTCTACATTTCAACTGATCAAATTCAACTGATCTTCAGATTTCCATGAATATAAAATCTCGGACTTGGTGCAGTCCGTTATCTTGATTAATTCATAATCTTGTGTTATAAGCATTGTCCTTGCATTCTCTATAACGTGAAGGATATTACCCAAAGTCTTGATCATTTAATTATTTTCCTCAGTAATTGCAACTGTCGCTTGAAGCTCGAATACCTTGTACCCTTGCAAAATAAGATGATGAAAAGCTATATAATCTTTAGATAGATAAACTTAACAAGGTGAAACTTAATAAACCGTATCCCAACAATCTAGCCCTATAAGAAACAAATTTATAGGCAGACCCAAAGTTTCTTCTATCTGCACTTGGTAAAGAGTTGAGAAGCTAGGCTCGAAGTCCTTTTTCCCAAGCATACCGCTGCAGTGCCAGAAAAAAGATACAAGAGAGATTACCCACAACAATAATGAAATGAGAAAAATAAATTAGAACACATATTTTAGATGTACGTCAGAATTAAATGTAAGAATTAAAAGTGAAACACAGAGGAAATCGTAAATAAACGCAATGGAAAAACTGACGGTAAATTTGAATGGGAATAGGAAAATGGAGCTTGCGTCACGGAAAAGGTTGGCAGCACCGCAACCAGATGCGACCCTGGGCAGGCAACTGTCAAAGACGCAAGGTAGGAGAAGTAAACAAAAAGCTCAAAAGGAAAGCAAATGCGAACGAACGCGAAGAAAACGAACCCACAGCGATTTATATGTCAGCTGGCCCAAAGCGCTTGTCTAGGGTCTCGCCTGTCAAATATCTACGACTGCCGATTCGGAAAACAGACGCAGATAGCGGCGCTCGTGAAAAAGCAAATTCTCTGAAAATTGTAAACGCGAATAAAATAAAACGAAACTCCAAATAAAACTCAATCATAGACAAGACAAGATCCTTGTTGCCTGCCTCTCTGCCGTAGTCTTCAGCCATGGAGCGTACTGCCGTGCCCCGCGGCAAGCGTCCCAGGGTGCAGGTCTCCATGGATGACAAAGAGCGTGCGATTGCGCGCATACGCAATGGCGAAACAAAGGCCGGCATCTCACGGGAACTGGGCGTGCCGGAGTCCACGGTGCGCGGCTGGGTTAAGCGGGCCGATCAGCGCATGGCGCGCGAGGCGGGCGAGGGTAAGTCTAAGCTTCTTTTGGCCGACCAACTCCGACTGACGCTAGAAGCACATTCTGTCTGCCAGGCACGGAGACTGCATCGCCGCCCTCGTTGGTGGTGCACTCGTTGAAGCTACCCGCTAAGCGGGATCACAATGGCCAGCAGAGGACCCGCTCCATAGCCCCAATGCCCGTGGCCGTGCCGCTGCCCATGCAGCTCTTCCAGCAGGCTGCCAGCAGTCAGCTGCAGCTGAATGGCTGGCTGCACATATTCAATGCGGGCATCCTTAACTTCACGCTGATTGCCACGGCCGCCTATTTGCGGGCACGCGTGCGTGGCACCACAGATCGCCAGTCCCTGTGGCAGATCATTTGCGAGTATGTCGATGAGGCCGGGCGAAATGTCGCTGCCAATGGGGGGCAGTATGTGGCGCCAGCGGGGGCGACTATAAATCGACAGCAGCTTAGCTCGCCGGCCCCTTCACGGAATGTCGGCGGCGGCGGATTTGTGGCGCCACGGCTGCACATTACGGCCGAGGACGACGAGGACGCCAGCATGGATGTCGAGGGGGCAAGTCCGTGAAAACCAATCGATTTATTTATATACATGTTCTATATGCAAATAAAACGCCTGTCAATGGGATTATGTTGTTTAAAGCAAATAATTGCATTTTAATTAGCAGCGAAATAAGTGCGATAATTGGCTCCGAGCCCTGCACCGGGCTCTGGTCTATGGTGTCTGCTGTCTGATGTCTGCTGTCCGAATCAGAATCCGAATCTGATGCGGCTGACTTTATTAACCATATTATTATTTCATTTCATTGCATGTCATGCAAATTTTCAATTGAAATTCTCGCTGTTTTTATTGTCGCTGTCGTGTCCTGCCGCTCCGCTCTGGTCAGAGTCACGTAATTAAGCGGTTTTATTTGCGGCTTTGCCACACATTAATTGCTCATGTTAAATATGAAATTTATTTAGTACGAAAAGAATTCACAATATATGTTTTTCTTTTCACATTTGCATTTTTAGTTTGCGCAACATGCATTCCATTTTTACCATAAAATCGCAGAATGCGGATTAAACATGAATTGGTTTTAGTACTTTTTTTATTGTTAATCCGCGCTCTGCTGAAACAGTTGGAAAAAAACTAAGTAATCCAGTGTCGGTTTATTTATACAATTAAAATATTGCATTATATGTAATTAAATGTAAATGGTAGTGTGTATATCATATAGAAAACTGGATAAGGAATACTATTAAAACTCCAACTCTGTGATTATTGGCGATATAGATTCTTCTCTTCTGTTAGGAGTTCTTCAATTCTTTTCTCCATCCAGATCTACCAGGAATTATCGCACTTTATCGGTATCACGACAGATTACACTATGCACATCCCATTTACTGGATTATTCAAAGATAACAATTGATTTTACAACGTATTCCCCATCGATGTTTCTCTCCTCCTCATAAAATCTTTCCTACCATCCCCAGCTCTCAGCTTTCCGCACAGGCTATAAATTTACCCCAGCAGGGTGATTTCCCATCACAACCTCCCTTTCCTATCTACTGATTTTCAATATATTTGTGCATATATTTAAAATATTTTTATTTTTAGTTTCATTAAGCATATGTGTTAAAATAATATAGTCAACTACCGAGTTTTGTTAAACGTTTGTGCTTAGCATTTTAAAAAATCTTTGAATCGTATTTCTACCGAGGAGCCTTGGATTCTGTGAAAAGTGTGAAACACGTCTCAAATGATTTTTCATATAGATCCTTGAAAATTAATTTTAGAGCGAAACCTCCACCAAGGAGGCAAGGATTTTCCAAAAAGTGTGAATTTTGACAAAGACCTTTTAAAATGTATTTTGAAGCCCATCGTATGGTGAGCAATAAATGTTCATACAGCTGATTAGCTAGTGTTAAAAATAGATAGAGAGATCTTTTTGTTGACTTAAAACTTAAAAGACGTCACACATTTAATTGTCTGATTTCTGACAAGCTTTATTTTTGAAAGTGTCCCAGCACATTGTCAGATATTGCGAGATATTGCGTAAAAGCCATACAATAAATTTGTTTGATACAGAAATCCAGCACATGGGAGCTGAATAAAATAAAACACCTAATTGAAGGCTAATCAGGAGGCATGGTTTTATATTTAGCTTCTTTTTTGTTTTTTTTGGATGTCGGGCCAACCACGAAAGCTAAGCCCACTAAGCCAGCATCCAGTGGGCAATGTAGCACGCAGCGATTATCCGCCAGTTCATCGAAAAATATTACTTCCTTAACACGAAACTTTTTCCATTTTCATTTTGCACGCAGGACCATAAAAAATATGGAAGAAGGGCGGCCCAAGAAAATAGCTATTGCAGCCAGGGCAGACCCGGGAAGACATTTTGTGCGGACTCGGTTTGTTTTTGCGGATTTCTTGCGCTTTCCTGAATCACTTTTTTTTAGCCACGATGCCAAAGTTGGAGGCCTATCAAAGTTGATTATCGTGGAATATTTTGAGCAAGAGATTTGTGCTGTGGCCTGTACCTGATTTAAGGCATAAGCCACAGGGATTTGCGACCCAGATTGGGTAGCTCTCTGAGCAATTTAGGGGCCGATATAGCATTGATTAACTTGTTGAGGGCCGAGCTCCCAAAAATGCAACTTTAATGGCAATGAAAACAATAAACGCATTATGGCACCTGAGCACACATACGCACACAGCCCCAACACGTTTGTAAGGTGCTTCAAAACGAGAACGGAAATCATATGGGACAAACACACACACGAATACACATCTGCAGCTGCCATAAAGGTGCTTAGCTTTCATGGCCAGCACGGAGGAAGCAGAAAGCATCAAACTCCAAACAAAATAAACGCATTCGGTTCTCGAATTGGAATTGCGGTTGCCACCCACTCAGAGTTACGCTTCAGCCCAGCCCGGGGAAGCGGCACAGCGTGTGCTGCCCCCTCACAAGTCATAAATCAAACACGTTTAATTAAACTTTTGCGCGTGCTGCTGGACTGGGCCAAAGGGGCGTGGCAATCGTCGCAAACTTTACCGCCTGCACTAAGTAAAAATGCAATTAGAAGTGGCAGGCAAAAGTCAGGAAATGTAAAGCGTCCGCCACCCGAGGGCCCGCTCCGGACTTGGTCACGTTGCACTCGACGTGCATAATGTTTGCAATCCAGTTGTGAATTGTGAATCATTTATAAAATGAGACGAAGCTGTGAGGCTGCTGGAGCCGAAAAGTATGCTTTAATTTTCAAACGAATGTTGCCTTACCGTAAGCAAAGTACAACTTATTGAATATATCTATTTAATCTCGCTGGAGTCTTGACTTCGCAGAATGTTCAATAGGTGATTCATCAGGCAATATTCTGCATGCCATTCTATTGTTTCATTATACGCTCACACAATTTATGAAGGTGCCCAATATGTGATATATTGCTATTAGGAAAGGAAAACCACACAAATTAGTTGCGCCCACTATTCCAATCAGAAACCAATCATGTTTCAAGTAGAGAGAAGAAACCTTACACAAAATGATAAAATAGGTAACAAAAATATATTTTTATATATTTTTTTTGTTATATGTTTTATTAGTTTTACCTAGACCGACCATCAATATCGGCTATAACAGGATGGTGGTATTAATATGGAAGCCACGCCTTGTCTAAATATATTACCAGATTCAAGGTCTAGGGCAAAAAGCAGACGTGACAGTGTCTTTAAGACGGAGTTTTGGGAATTGACTAAGGCCAAAAGAGCTAGAGAGAGAACTTGTGCTAAGTTTGCAATACCTTAAAATCCCTAAAAAATCAAGAGTTTGTGACCACAGTGTGAAACACCTAGAGGAAGAACTGTCATTGGTCAGCAAGAGTGAAATCTCGATTTTTCAGGGCCTTATAGCAGCGATAAGCAGATGGACTTTCAAGCTGTAACTTTAATTGGCAATACTTATGCCAATCGAGCATGTATTGACAGAAGACCCCCTCTCCCATACATCAAATTCAGGACCTGTCGAGGAAGTATACAGAGACAGTCATTGACTATCCCCAAAAGCCTTAAACACAGCAGACCACTATTTAGTTCGGCTTCCATTAAAGAAGTTAACAGCACAACATTTATTGGGATATACATTGCTCTCCTAAAATTGGCTCTGATAAACTGAATGCTAGCAAAAACAAGTGTAACAGTTTTCTAGTCAATAGTTTATACGAAATTATGGCCCGAACAAATTGCTGGGAAAACCGAAAAACTCTGCCGCAACTTGTGAAAATAACCACAAATACACCAACGACAGCTGTAAATTATTTGGGAAAATGTTTTAGCACCTTTAAACGGGCTCAGTCGGCTGCCAAGAGATGAGAAAAGTCCGGCCAAAAGCAACCCTCGCAAGCGTCCCCTCTGTCAGGGCTGTGTCATTGCAAAGGAAATCACGCAATAAACTAGCGACGAAAACAAAACTTTAACTACTTTTCCGTTAGCCGCGAAACTCGACTGGAAAAACTTTCTGAAACAATACAATTTATATTTATGCGACGTCCACGGTGACCCAGAAAACGAAAACGCCAAAGAATACGCTGTCCAGCATTTTGTTGGCTCGCATTCAGGACGAAAGGATGAAACCACGAGCCGGTTGAAGTCGTGGCAATGCAGCACAGAGTTTATTTAAGTGTTGAAAACTACTTGACCCACATTCTTGTGGTTCTGTTGATTGCGGCTTGAGTCGAAAGTTCCATCCTGTCAATTTAAAAGCCATGTCGGCTTATGGAAAGCCCATACAATAAATTGACTGCATTAAAGCGAATGCAACATTAGGAAATCGACGTTCTGTTTAGAGTTACGACAAAGGGCAACTGCCAATAACTGCTGCTGAATGTGCACATTTTGTTGATGCATTTTCGGCAATTTTCTAATTTTAATTCAGTTAATGGAGCTCAAAATGGGTTCATTAACAAAAGCAGTTCCGAACCGAGCATGAAAAAGCAGAGCAAGTTAAATGAACTATGCCCGTTGCTAATTAGTTTTTGCAAGAAATCTTATTTGTTCGTGTTGTGCTCCGGCCATGTCATAAGCGAAACTTTGCAATCAATACAGAAGCCCTCCCTGCCAATTAAGTGCCCCAAACGGACCATCGATTGCCACACATCTGCCCAAGACGAAAATCAACAACAACAACAACTACAGCAAACACTGAAACAATAAGTCAGAGTGCTCCACTTGGCTGTGATTGAGTAGAAGTTACCCTAAACAAAATACAACTAAATACTTGAACTAGCGGGTATTTTACTCGCAACACATTTTCTGCTTAAAATTGCAAACACAACTGGAAAAGAAGGATATGACTTTCAATACGCAGAGTCACGAATTTGATACTTTAAGATGTAGAGTTTAAAAATAGGTTTCACGATCGAACGAGGAGGGACAGACTTTTCGGAAAGATCAAAACAATTTTTAAATTAATTTTGACAAAAATATTCAAAATATTTAAAGCTTAAAGCTAAAGCTAATGAACAGAATAGTTCAAACATACATTCTCTACTATTGCAGGTGGAATTTTCTTGAGACAGAAGAAATTTCAGCTTCATTGCGCTTTCGCATTGAAGAAACAGGGATAGCTATTTTGATCAAAGGGATAATTTTAATTGATAAGAGGGGTCAAGAAAGTGTAGTAGTTATAATAATCAGTAATAATTATAACCTGTCTTAAGTTTCAAAAACCTCTAAAACCGGTGTAAAGGCATTCATTCGATCATAATATATATTGTGTATTCCCACAGTGTTATGCCTTTGACTCCTTAACCCTTTCTGGAGTACAGGGTATTAAAGAAGAAACAACAAAGTATATGACAACAATGTGTGTGTCCAGATGGTTGGCGGACGTTGATTGTGCGTCCACAGACGGATGGAACGCATAATGACCCCAAATCCTATCAATCTAAATGAAAATTCCCCAGTCGTGCGGATAATTGGAATTAATACAAAACACAGCTAAGAAATATTGTTGGGGCAGGAGAAGAAAATGATAGGGTTAGCTAGTGCGTCATATTTAATGCCATAGCTGGACACATGGAGCCCGAACATCAGCCGCCAGTTGTAGGAGTGGGACAATATGGCAAGGTTCGTCCAGATAAGCTGTGCTTCTGAAATTGCATCCAAATAGCCAGCAAGCAAATTAAACATCATTTTGCTTTTGTTAATGACGCTTTTGTGGATGAACTTATAAGGGGCTGCAGGTAGACTATTACCACTGCACGAATGAGGGAAAACGAATTTTCGAAATTTTCGGCTAGTAAGTTGTCACTTATAGCATTCGACAGAGAGTGAGTCTCTGAGATCAACGCGCTTATGCAGATGGCGACATCGGATCGGCTCAAGGGTATACAAATCTGAAGAAAAGCAATAGTTGAAAAAATAGTGGAAAATTGGATGAGACTCCGCCTACTCTATTCGAACAAGAAGCAGGAAGAAAATGAACCCTCTCAGGCTAGCATAAAAAAAATTTAAGAGCAAACAAATTGTTTAATTTTATATATATTTTTGTATATTCTATTTGTTTTTAGTTTATAAACCACTTTTTGTAACAGTCAGCTCTCAATACTTATTTTCATGTCTGAAATCCAAAAAGGGGAACGCTTCATAAGTTCTTTCTTCATTCCCCGCGGCTTCGGACAAACAATTACTTTCCTTGTTGGCGTCGCTTTGTAGACCAACCCATTGTAATCACCAACGATTGAAACGCGTTTGATAAATAGCTTTTAATATTTAATAACTTGATGCGAAACGACACGCTATTAGGCAACAGGCACGGCCGGCGATGTTTAACAAGAGCATAATACTGGGCCGCTCACACGCTCACTCTCAATTTTATGAAAAACAACAGTCTGCACTTTAACTGAAGCACTTTTCACTTACAGAAACGTATGCAAATTATTAATAAGGACTCTCGCTTGCTGTCAACAGCATTGAAAATCAATCTTATCTCACAAAAATGTATTTCTCCACTGTCGGCCATGATATTTGTGCACATATTCCAAATGCCGTAGAATCCCAAGTTTTTGTAGCATTCCTGATGGTGGAAAAACTATATTTTTCTTGACATCAAGCCAGAAGAAATTTCGGACTTCCCAAAATCGATAATCGTGTGGAATCTCTAATAAATATTAAAAGGATCTTAAAAGTGAACAATCGGTAGAATTTTTCGTAGCTTCGAGCTTAAATTCATAATCGAAAATCAACCTGATACGTATTTCGCAATTTTCACAAAATTCCCCTCGCTTAAAGATTCTCACTAATAAAATGGATGGAATACGTTGATTCCAACTTTTGGTTCTTTACTTGATGGACGTCAAAGACATTTTCATATATCTATGTAAATGATCTCTACTCATGAGGCTCAAGACAATACGGGTAGTTTTAAAAATTGTAAACGCGTTCGAAATGGGCAGAGAAATGTCATAAGAGTCTAACAAATAAGTTGAACCAGGAAAGACGGGATATATCGCCCGACAGCAAGATACCCTTAATCCAGCGCCAAGCTGCCGTTTCAATATTGTAAGGTAATATTAATGGGTAAATGGGTTTTCGACAAATGTATGTAATTTAAATTATATATTTATACATAAGTGATCATGTTAACGGAGCTGTTAGCCGATAGAAGAGCAAGGTATGTATAACAAATAAATCAACCTGAGTACCCACGCTACATGGAAAATAAATGAGCCTTGGGAACTGTCAAGCCATCAGATTATCATCAACGAAACGCACCTTTAACTAATTAATTTGCCTCATTAACAGTCAACAGCCAAAGGCTTTTCGGTTTCCATCTATTTTCAATTAGTTTGTGCCTCTAACCGAAGCATGTTGAATCGTAAGCTACGCGTGCTGCTCATCATAAGCTACTACCACATGCTCGTCTATGGGCTGATGCCAACGACGCTGAAAATTGGTAACTGCGACCTGGCCATAGCGAAGGTATCCGCCGGCTATATGATCTATAGCGTGTTCCTGACCGTGGTGCTATTGTTGGAGGTACCGTGTATGATGCTCGGCGGCCTCTTCAGCGGGTATATGAGGAACAACATTGTGCTGCAGTGGGCTCTCATTGTTGGACTGATGGTACGCATTATTGCCATTTTGAGCTGCTATGGGCTGGTCTGGCTACAACGCCAACGGCTAATACAGCTTTACAGAGACTTTCTTGTGCATTGGAGGGCCCACTGGCAAATCCTGTGTCGTGTTGCCGGCGAAGAGTCACTGGAACGAATGCAATTGATTCTGGCGGGAGTACTGCGCCGCAATCTGTGCATTAATTATGCGATGCTCTGCTGCTCGATTCTAATGCAATATCGCTTGCTCAGCTCGGGAAATCGTTTGCAGCTGTTGATGCATGCTGCTGCAATGCTGATGGTTTCTGTGGGGCGAATTGGCTTTTTTACGCTTCTCCTGCTGCTCAATCATCAGTTCCTGGCTGTTCAACTCTCGCTGCAGGCCTTATGCCGGCGCGTGCGATCGCGCTCGCAGGAGGATCTGAGACGCATTGCTGGCATACACGCCGAGTGGGTCATTTTGGCCCGACGCGCATTTAGCATTTACGACGTGGCTAATGCCAGCATCTTTCTGAATATGTTTGCCGTTAATGTGAATATTCTCTACCATGCCGTGCAATTTGCTAATCAGACAATCGAGTCCGATAGCTGGGGATTTCTCATTGGCGACGGACTTATTGTATTCAACTTTTGGAATTCGGCCTTAATTATGAATATGTTGGATAGCGCAATAAACTCATGCAATGATTCGGCTCAGCTCGTTAAACAGTTTAACAATCTACACACACTGAGCCCGGAGTCAGAGAAAGAGGTGTGTCAATTTTCAAAATTTAAGCCACTTTTTCAAATATGCCCCTTTTGCTTGCAGTTGGAGCTATTTGTGATTCACCTACGCAACAATCGTCTTGTCTATCGAATTTGCGGCTGTGTGGTCCTCGACAAGCCTGCCTGTCTGGGGTACTTAGCCACCGTTCTGTGCCACGTCATCTTTCTAATGCAATTTGATCTGAAGCGTAGGTATGAAGAGGGCTTGACAAACTAGAACATTAAAAATATATGTCTTTTAAAAGACTGTCTTAGCCGAAGTCCAATAGATATTGATAATTAGAATGATAATGATGTTACTTCTTGGTAGCTTTAATTAGTGCCATTTCACAATAATATCGGTTCAGGTATCTGATTTTTAAAAACTGGTACAACAGACACAGATACATAGGAAGACAGACAGACAGACAGACAGACAGACAAACGGACAAATTTTTTTAAGTCAGTGTTGTGTCCCCCTCTAATTTTGTTAAAACTTATGTAAAAGTTATCCAGGTTTTTCTTAACAAATTTATTTTATTTCAGTTCACTGGTCCTACAAAATTATAGCATACTTATTATTAACTTAGCAGCTTCTTATTCCACATAAATACTGGGAAATTGCTGCCTTCGAAAAGTTGTATTTAATGTTAAAAAGCTTTAAAACTGGGTTTTTTGAAAGCTTATAAAGCTTTTAGGCTTGCGGCACATTTGCATTCGAAATAGGTCACAAAAGGTTTGCTCTAATAATAAATCTTATACGCAATCTGGCATAGTATGAGCACATTAGTCGCTATGGAAGAGTTCATTGAATTCCAAGATGATCTGTTCAATTCGAATAGGCCGACAACTTGAAGACGACGCATGCGTTCCGGGCGCCGCTGCTGCTTCCAGTTAAGAAAAATCACAGCGAACTCCACCTATAGAAAAAACCCCAACGGAAATGCTCTAGTCGGAAGTTGTTACTTGTTTATACTGTGTACTCACCTGACGCAACATGGCCATGGCGTGAGTATCCTGCCAATCTATATCCATTGGCTTCAGTGCGAACCACAGCTTCTGTAGGCGAGCTGAGAGGTGCATCCATTGCAGGTGGTTGGTTCCAAATATGGAGAAGTGCATCATAATATCAAAGTGGTAGGATATGCAAATCACAAAATAGATAATAATTCGCCATTTACTGATGTATTCCGCATCGGCAAAATAGATAACCAGGTTGAATATAATAGTTATGTCGATCAGATAGTTGGTAAACAGATTCAACAGCATCTGCAGCTGAAAGATATGCAGCAGCTGCTTGAGCAAGCCATCAAGACGCAAACAACTACGCCAGAGACGCCGCCAAGCGGCCAAAAGCTGGCGCTGGTAAACACTTCGATGGCAGCCATGAGATGGGGGTAACCAGTGCACATCCTGTGCCAGCTCAAACAGCTCCTGCGACATGCACTCAAGCAGACGGTTGCTGGTAGCCAGCAGAAAGTATATCAAGGTGTCTGTGCAACTAAGCATTAGTTCCATCAGCAGAGTAGCCACTGCCAGGACGATGTAAGTGAGCGGCACTTTTGTCACAACTTCATCGTCTTCGCCGCACATAAGCGCGCTGCCGGGTCCAAACAGCTGATGTATTAGCACTACGAAACGTGCGGTGCCCAAGAAGAGTTTCCAAAAGTGTCGCCGCCAAAAGCTATAATCATGATATCTGGGATATCGCTCCAGCAACGTTAGCAGACCATTTCCGAGACGCTGCACTCGTCGACGTCGCAGCCAAATGCTGGCCAGCATCACCAGCATCGAGCAGCCTTTGGCCAGAGCCACTGCGCTAAAGGCCACAGCCAGCATGTCCATATCCTGGCAGCTAAAAAAGCTATGAACCATCACGATAAAGGTCGTGGGTGTGAGCAGCAGGTACACTACATCTAAGAACAGCCAATAAACCATCATGAACCCATGATCCAGCTCAAAACGTTTCAGTTCCGGCATATAGCGAAGATTGCACAAGCCAATGGCACGGCTTATTCCAATAGCAATTGGCATCAGCGGACCTTCCATTTTGGGCAAAAATCTGACAATAACTAAGTCGGCGTCGGGTGCAGCAACTGCAGCTCGTTGCAAATGACCAGTTAAAAGCACATTGGGGAATACGATAATCACGCTAGTGAAACAAAAACCATTTTGGTTGCATGTTTCAGTGTTGGTATTCCCAGCCTGAGGGACCATTATCAATTGGTACTGGCTATAACAAGGATAAAGTGCTCTTGTCGAGATTGACGGAGCAGTAGATACCCAGAGGAACGCACTTCTGTGTGGTTTTTCCTCTATTTCCCAACACAAAAGGGATCGTTGTAATTGACAAACCAATCAAATTTATTATTGTTGATATCTTTTCTTTTATAATAATAAATTTTAACAATAAATAAAATAGGTAAATATTTACTGGCTAATTTGCTATTAAAATACAGGAAAAATACAGAAAACTCTTACAAATACTTGAAAATACATTAATTACTCCAGTTACAAATATATTTACACTTGTTGTAAATTTTGTATAATATAAAAATACAAATTAAATAATTTATCGACAATTCTTATTTTGATAAGATCAAATTGCCCTAGGTGAACTTATTTGATAGCTCAACTCAAAAAACATTTCATTTATTATACTCTGTACTAAAATGGGCTAGAAGGGAGTATAATGGAGTTGTGCAAGTCATTATGACAAGCAGCAGGAAGCATCTCCGATCCGTTTAAAGGCCTAAATTTCATTTCATTCGGGCCTATGCACAGGGTATCTCCAGTCGAACACCCTCAACTATTTACATTTGTAATACTTTGAATCAATTATTTAAAAGCTGAGCTTTTCTACGGCATCTTCAAGACTATCCAAGGAACTCGGCCGTGATATCTATAGAAATAGTAGTCATAGGCGAGCTTGCCAAGTATCAGAATGATGAGGCTGGCCAGGACGCAGTTCAGCCAGTCAATGGGATGGATTCGCATGCCATCGTCGGGACTTATGTTGCACATGTCGTGACGCGTCAGCGACAGCACCTTGGCCAGGCGCAGCTCATCGCCCTGCATATAGGTGCAGGTGACGTTCCACGCATCACGGACAATATCCTTGTACTTGGTTAGCAATTCGCGCAGTCGCATTCCAAACTTGCATGTGCAATGCCAGGGATTCTTGCTAAGCAGCAGGAGATTCGCATTCTCGTTATCATTTAGGGCATTGTCCAGCGCATAGACCTGAAGCTTTCGCAACAGATTGCCCTGCAGGTTGAGCAAGCGAAAGTTTTGCAGCCAGTATGTGTCCTCTAGAAGGTCAATGTTAGAGATCCGATTATTTTCCAGCTGCACATCCACCACATGACGATAGTGTGGATTATCTTTCAGTGGATAAATGTCGCTGATCTAAAATGGATTAGTGAGTGAAAATTACAATATATTATATATCACTCACTAGACGTTCTTACCTGATTATCATTTATGTACAACGTGGTAGTATTTTCTGGCAAATACGCGGGCAAGCTTTGAAACTGAAGATGGGAACAGTTGACCGTGTAAAGTGGAATGTATGCCTTGGGAATTATATGATGCATTACGCATGTGCAGTTCAGAAGGTCCGCATGTGATTGGCACTCTCTTCTCAGCACCTGGAATTATCAGCGGATCAGTAGATGGACCAGAATTGGGTTTTTACATATCTAGATTTGTATATACTTACCACCTTGTAGTGCATGACAAGCAGCATTTGTCGCTCCTTGTACTTGCGGTCGGTGCAGATAAGCTCCTCGCGATCGGCTACCAGCCGACCCTTCTCTGGCTGCAACAAGAGCCACTTGAAGTTTCGAGTGCAGTTCCACGGATTGCCCGCCAGGTACAGCTGCTGGAAGGTGCGCGGCAATATCAACGGTCCATCCAGCTGGATCAGCTGGTTCCAGCGCAAATCCAAAATTTGCAACGCATGCACACGCTTAAAGGTGCGCGCAGAGATGTACGAGAGATTCGTCCAGGAAATGTTAATTGCCTGCAATGAGTGCACAAAACATACAAATTGGCAACCTCAAAACCCAATTGGTGTCCATAAGCACCTGCAGATGGAACATATCCGGAAAGTCGAATATGAACTCTGTGAAGCCGCTGTACTCGATGGTCAAGGAGCGCAGATGGGGAAACTTTTGCAGTTCGCCGAGCGGGTTGAAAGCCTCCTTGGGCCAGCCGCACAACAGCATCTGTTGCGCCGGAAAGAGTTTTCCCAGCTTGGAACTGTAAGAATGTCATGAATTAGTAAGCCATCCGATCTGCCATTTAATCTCCTACTTTAGCGATGCCAGGTTATTCATGCCGCCATAGCACCTGATCAATCCATGGCGCGTTAGGCGGGTGCAGTTCCCGTCGGCAGCCTCCGGCGCTGCCGTCCAATTAACGCAGCTGTGGCCGGGGTTCAGAGCCGGCATCTCAGCTGCCACCGTTGTGGACGTAGTTGTCAGGGTCGGGGAATCATCCGGAGCATACGTGGCGCCGCAATACCTGTGCACATACATTAATAAATAAGCTATAACAATATAGTACGCAATTGAAGTCGTATTTGATTGCGGGCACAATCAAATCTATTTCTGGAAATGGGGTTGGGCTAGGTGATAATTATTGGCATGCCAAAACATCAAACCATATCAACATACGCCAATTCGAAGAGCCATTCAACTTTTATGGAGGTGTTCACTCTAGCTCCGTGATAAATAGAGATCGATAGCACAATTCAATTTTTATTTGCTTATAGAGTTGTTCATTTACAAATATATACATTGTATCTGTTTGATTTAATCTCTGTATGCTTTATACCCTAAATAATATTTCATCTAGAACAGTTTCTGCGACCTTCCCCATCTTATCATCATTTTCCATCATTATTTTAGTGTTCACGAATTTATTGATATGCAAAATGCTGTTTCATTTTCTACTTTTTCGCTTAATTTAATATATTTACGATGAACTCGATAATCATTAATCAAATTTTAAGACCTGCCGCAGTTTGAAATAATTGTCTAATATTTTTCAAATAATATCTTGGAAGTTTTTAATTGAATAATATATGAATTATTATAAAAAGTGCCAAACAGATTTGTAATGTTAAAATCTTGCCTATAGGGTATTTTCTAGTCCGGACCTCTTGATGAGAGCATTCCTACTAGTTTTTGACAACTAACGCGTATCCAGCAAATAATTGCGCATCGTGTCGATTTTGGCACTTCCAATTTAACCCAAATGTTGTTTATGGTTATTTAACTTGTGTACATACATGCACATACAAAGGTATAGGTAATACACATAAGTAAGAGATACATATGCTTATACGAGTACATGTACATGAGTTCCGCGCAAAGTTAATCGGTAGCACTCTGATCGAGTACTAAATATGAGAGCCAACATTGTGAGGCCCTAATTAGCTCTGTATATAAGCGGGACGCGACGATTATTCAGACTGCCATGAAGGTGGTGTCACTTAGCACATCGGTAGATCTGCTTGTGACACATATGTTCAGATTTCACAAAATGAGAGAAACAATGCTGACGATCAACTTGCCAATGCTGTAAGCTGGTCTAAAAGAAATCAAATTATTTATTTAATATTTCCTGTTTTCCAATACATAACTGAACCTGATTTGAATCCATTTTCCCGGGGGCTTATTCAATAAAAGGGGTCTCCACATGTTCCCCAGTGTACTTTGTTTTTCAGTACAGCTTAGGACTTAAGTTATTTCAAAACCTATCATATTGCAAATAATTAATATGAAAACATATCTATTTTGTATTTACGATTTCAATGATATTTTGTTGGTGGCGTTTAGAAGTTTGATTAGTTGCAATTAGCATCGTTTATCAATGTTTTTTGCGCAAGTGTTAAAATTAAAAATATACAAAATAAAAACAAGAAAGTCGAAGTCGAGTGTGCTCGACTACTAAATCTCTTGTACGACTCATTTTGGCTTATATCATAAAAAATATATATATTATATAATATAAAATATACCTAAACATGAGTTCGAAAAAAAAAAAACATAAAGTTAAAAATGCATATATGAACAACATACCAACCTAAGGTTATGGTAATATGCACACACATATTCACTGGGCTCTAGCTTTAAGAATGAAAGGGGGAAGTATTTAAAGGGTGTTAAATTTCCAATTGTCTGAATTATAAATTTGATGTATCTAGCTCTTATAGTTTTTGTTTAATGCTGGAAAACCCTAGTCTTCAAATCGGTTTTTATACAATCCATTTGGTAATGTGAAGAAATGTCGAAAAAAAATGATAAACTCGTTTTGCGTAAAAAAAAACCTGCATAAAACCAATAACTAATATGTTCAGTTATACTTAAAAAAAATGTCTAAATCGATTTTTATCGATATTATCAATTATGACGACGCTGCTCGATGTCCTGAATGAAGAATTTTGTGTTACATAAACCCACATAAGCACATTATACCCTCTTCATTCATTTTTAATGGGTTCAGGCTATAATTAAAGTCGACGAAAATATTTGTTTTGAAATTTACCAAAATGGTAGCTGTACGTTATTAGCTTGACTGTTGGGCAAAATCGTGAAGAACAAATATTTGCGCACATGGCGTATGTGTGTTATTTGAAAGACTAACAGAAAGTCAAGAATCGTACTAATTTGCAGCGATAATTCGGCTAGTAACCAAATTTAATTACCTGCCTGGTAGTACAGAGCGCTGCCTTATTTAACACGGAAATTAGTCTCAAAACAATTCCATTTCTTTGTATCTTGCATAGGACCGACAAATTTTGGAGATATATCTACGTGGTCTGTTCGGCTAACTGCCAACAAAATAGACAAGTGCGCAACCTACTAAAACCAATTGGCAATCAATTTAAATTGAAAAGTATTTTATGCTGTCTGACATTTGGTTGTGACAATTCGTTGCGATTTATTAAGCCAATCAAAAAAAATTGAAGTAAATATTGAACAATTGTTATTCTTGTTATTAACGGCATGGCCAAGGTCTAAGCCGGCAAAACCCATGTATAATACAATTTAATTTTATTAATTAATTATTTATTCAAACTTACTAAAAAGAAGAAGAAGAGCTAGAATTGTGGTAATTGATGAGTACTGTGCAAATACCTTCAACACAGAAATTGTTTCCATATAACAACTCAACCTACTCCTTTTTATAAAGCTAAATAATTTAATAGGCCGATGTTGGGAAGCTTGAGCTCGTACTGCCTACAACAGAAAGACAGAGCTATGCAAATCTGTATGGCGTTGCATTAAAGCAGACAGATTTCTATGCGTTACGCATTTTCTACCAAATTAATATAACCCTAAATATATGCTCTCTTCTCTACTAGAAGGCGTACTGTGGTGTGCTTTATCAACATACCGTTGCGACTAAGTCTGAAATCTGCTTCCGGTCTTTTTTTAAAACACACGTTGAATGATTGAATGAAATTGTTTACTAAATGCCCAATTTACGTCTTTTACTCAAACAAGTTGATAAGAAACGTATGCATTGATCTCATAAGGTGCTATAAGAAATAGTGTTCCTACACCTTTATCTTTCTCGATTTGGTGCAGCCACTTAAAACTAGCTTATCAATTCGGCAATATAAATAAATCCACTCAAGAATTTGTCACGCATCGACTTCCAATTAGTTTTTAATTTAAGGAACGTCCCAGGCAGAAAGTCCTGAGTGCACGATACTCCTTATCCCTAGTTAGGATTAAGAGTATTAAAACGGAAACGTTTTTAGTAGACAGTCAAGTCAGGCGGACAGAGTATACAAATTTCTAGAAAGAATGGGACAGAATAGCTAAGTAAGTTTATCAGATGATATTTATCTGTCATGTGTTTAAAATTTTGTATGATACTCTTATAAACAAAACAAATATAGACCAGACGCCAAGTTATTTTAGGCACAAACCGCAGGAGTGCGCAATTCACACACTACATTCATCAGGTAATAGGGTATTATCTGATATGGCAGCTAAGACAGAAGCAAGAAGCTAGATAGCTTATCTACTTGCTGAAAATCCCAAACAGGTATAAAAAAAACCGACCACAACATGAATATATTTTCTAGAGTAGTTATATGTAGAGAAAGGCATATAAAACTAAATTTTTATTTTTGGCAAAGGTAAAGACACGATAAGAAGCGCTGTATAAATCGAACGCTCCATGATTAATTGTGCCTCCAATTCTAACAATAAATCAAGAAGCCTTTGCGTCACTTATAAGAACGTTGCTTCAAACAATAGTAAACGGGCAAAGAGGTATTTAGTTAGTCATATGATGATACCCTTACCATATAATCACCTATTGATACCCTGCAGAGGTTTTTATTAGATTGCGACGAAATGGTTAGGTACCACCATTTAATTCTAGGATTCTTTACTCGGTCCACAAGCTGTCTGCATCCAAAGTATTGATCTATCATTCAAAACATTTGAACAAAATTAAGATAATGAAATACATATGTCATACAAACGGATAGCCATATATTTTGTTTCTTTAGACATCACTCATCCGCCCATTTGTCGCCAGCTGAAAACTCTAAACCTTGCAGCTTTGCCGGATTTATTGTTTGTTTGCTTTCAAAATAAGTAAAACGATCGGAACACACTTGAAACTTATTTCTTTTAACCCTTGACCACCAGTTTCCGCCACCTGATGGATTTCCCCAAAAGTGTGATGACCCCTCAGATAATCAATCAATTTATATCTAGATAGTTGTCACAGGACCGATTAAATTGAAATAGACAACAGTTAATTCATGTGTTGTTTTCGACACACAAATTTGAATAGACAAATCGATTGTTATTCCAGTTCTTTAAATCGAGATAAAAACAAGATAAAAAAGATTAATTAATAAAAAAAAAATATCAGAGCATTTGAAATAAATCAACCAGTTCAGTCGAAAAGCTTAGACACACTTCAGTGCTCTTCAGGTTGGCTTATACAATAGGTACATAAACATGGTGCAGTTGAGCACATGTAAATAGCTTTTACGATAGGCCCATTTGGCGCTGGTTTACCCGTTGCTGATAAAAAAAAAGTGAGCAGATTGATTTATGTAAGGGAGCCAAATATTAACATTGACACAGACCGGTACGAAGCTATTAGATTTAATAAAACAGTAAGATACGAGGATCAGACACCAATTGGAAAGGCATACTTGACGTATGCGCAGCCAGCTTAGGCTCTCCATATAAACGGCGATTATCGAAAACACTTTGAACAATGTCTGATTAATAGTTTGCGCACCTGCCGAAAATAGCCAGCAACAGACAAAAACTAATCGCAAATGAGTTTCCATCAGTAAAGGTGCTTCGGTGGCTCATTCTCATTCTTATTCACTGGCACGGGAATATAACATGTATGCGTATTTATTGCGATCTCTTTGAAAACACGTGTAAGTTTGGATACGTCAATTTTCGAATGTCTTTCACATTTTTGGATTCGCACATGACTTTTGTTTTCCAGAATCGCTCCAAACCGACGGCTATTTACACATAGATGTATGCGGCTGCGTTTGCTACATATTTTAATGTCATGTTTTTGTTGCCGAGCTTTAGTTTTTAATCGCTTCGCATCCGTATCTCTCGCCCGGTCTGTGCTACTTTTCTCGCGTTTGAAGTTCAAATGAGGCGCAAATGCTAAACGCTGACATATTTTGGCGGCATCGGAGATCTCTTCAACCAAATCAGCTGTTCGAGACATATGTGTGAGCCTATATTGTGTTGCTGCTGTGTGTGTTAGCTGAGAGAGTTTGTTATGAAATTTTTTTGTTTTCATTTTTCCATGGGTGCTCGCGTGTCTGTGTTAATAGTGCCAATTGATTTATATGTAGCCATGCATGTGTGCAGCATCAACAGCTGATTGATAAGCCCGCTAGAAAATGTTAGACTACCAAATGTGAGTGCCGTATATAAAAGCTGCGACAACCGCATACTAATTGCTTTATTTTCTATTGCCAAAACAAATGCTTGGCTTCTCTTTTAAGGCACTATAAAAACTGAAACGACGCTAGTTGTCTTTAAATATATATGTGTACCCAGCGAATACATAAAACCACCTCAGCCATCAAACTTTGAATGTGGCTAAGAAACCTAAAGTGGCATGTGTATGATCTTATCTAAGCAATAAAGTTGCAACAGAAGGTTTACTACTTACACAAGTTACGTTCGTTTATTTTTAATTTTGTATTTGTACATTTAAGTCATCAGCGCATTTTCATCAACAGCGTCTGCATATTATGTACGAGGATACATATCAAATAACTAAAGAGAATAGTTAACAAAAACCAAACCTAAAATAGTTGCCCACATTAATATATCCTTATGCAAATCATAAATATGTAAACACATCATGTTACATAGGTAGTTGATGTTTTTCTTTTTTGGTTACGAGTAGTACTCATATTTGTTTCTATGTGTATCTGCAAGTCAGTTTCAGTATCTTGAGCTTGTTTGGACCATTAATATATGTAGTATATATGTGTACTTCCTATGGCTATGACTTGAGAAATTTGTAAGCTCGCAATGTCCCATAACATTATCTTATTGAGCTATTGGTTAAAACTGTCTGCCGGCCCTGTTGGCAAAAATTTGGTATAACATTCACAAAAATTCAACTAGCTGTCATTTAAACAATATTCTAAGAGTTGCCCCCATCCGTGGGCGTTGTACTACCATTTGCGGCAGCCTCATTATCCTTGGCTACTTGTGGACTCGCATTGTACTGAACCTTCTCATTGGTTTCCGCTTGCTTTTGTCGCTCATAGGCGCGTACATCCTCCAGGGTCATGCCATGCCATTCATCCACCCAAGCGAAGGCCTGGCGATGGCCGAGAAGCAAAATATCCCGAATGCCACGCTGTATGAAGTCTTCCACCTTGGTCTGCAGGCCCCAGACCTCGAAGCTGGCCAGCACCACCTTGTAGGAACACATAATAGGAGTATCAGAGTCACGCCAGCCCTCGATAAGTGGACCACGATCTGCAAACGAAAACAGTTACAAATGCTTCAAGATCTATCATGGTTAGACTTACTTGTCTTTTCTGACTTAAAGAACTTTGGATCCTCTTCGCGTTTATAATGTTTGCCACTGAACTCGTCAAATGCAATGTCCACATGGTCTACTGAACGCGCCTTCAACTCTTCCTCGCTGAGATCTAAGCACTGTATAGAATAACAATAATTAGCTGGTTCCAAGTTAAGATTTATTTTAAATACTAATTACGTTCTCAGTGCTGCCATTGTTGTTCTCATATTTGGTCTTGATTAAAACATTTAATTTGGGTATGAAGGAGCACTGAAATATGCAAAGTATAGATGTTTATATATATATAACGAGTCGACATGCCCAATCAATTTAGATAATTACCGTGTATTCTGCCATGTGGTCAGTCATTTGAATCAACATGAACATAAAAATATAAAGGGAAAAAATCAATACATGACATAAATTTAACTTTACCGAAAAAATAACTAAAAATAGAAACATCGAAATCCAATTAGGTTGCCAAATATCTCTGTATGTGTGTGCTTGTTTGTTTCTCTTCCTAATTACATTTAAAGAATTATGATGGTGGATTTAAAATTGTAAATGCATATGCGTATAAATGTTTTAAATTTTATCTTTCACTTAACATGCATTCTCCCTCTCTTTTAAACGCGTCTTATGAAGGATGTACAAATATTTTAAAATATTTAAATTTTCTGCATACTCTGCCATTTTATTTGGGTATTTAATTTAATTACAGCCTATATAACAAATAGCTGGATGGAGGGATTTTATTGTAACTCTTTTAGTTACGCTTGTTATCAGTTATCACTTGATAATATCTAAAACGACCAAAAACTAGCGTACAAGTCATATCAATCTGTTTATGTGAAGAGCCCACTAAGCCAGACTGGTTACAGCTGCCACGGTGCCAATGCTTATCGGAATTGTTTGCTCAAAAACTGACAATCGAGGATCCCAAACAAATCAGTCACTAGCAATAACCGGGATCGATGTGAATTGGAACACCTGTTATCAGATTACACACTTCCGACCCGACAGCCACGCTCTCTCTGTTTCTGTAAGCGTTATCAGAAAGGTAACGGCTGTGACCGTGACGTATTGGTGGCATGACAAAAGCGATATGGTCACAAATATCCATAGGAGTATACATATATACATATATACGCTTATCGTAGACATGCCAGGCCAAGGCGCCAAATCGATGAGAGGGCACGAGAGGGCAACCATATGGCAAAGTGACTTTGATGTCAACTAAACGAATAATTGGATACAAATAATTATGAGCAGTCAGCTGGAAAACTGGAGTGGATTAATCGCGAGAGGTATGGTTACAGGCTGGGCTGGCCGTATTTGTGGGGCGTTGAGTTATATATAGATACGCGGCAGATGGTCGCAAGCTCACCTGTTAGTGTGTAGGGATAATAGTTCCATGACTTTTCCGTCACGTAGAAAACGCGCGGGCAAATAGCCTGTATCCAGTATGGTAGCCGACTGGAAAGAAATATTATGCTTAGATGAGGGAACATATCCTGCTGGGATAGTGCCAGTTATCACCTGGACAGGTGTATGCGTTTCTCCGTGTACTGTCCCTTGCCGTGAACGGGATCTTCGCAGGGCTTGTTATCTATCACCTCGACACCTTCGCCTTCGTCGGACTGCTCCAGACTGTGGCGCGCAATCATATACAGCTGTCCAATTTTGTACTGCGAAATGCTGAATTGGTAAAAGTTGGCTTCCACCGGCAAATACGAAGTGTACTCACCTCCTCCACAGTAAGCGGCATGCAAACGCGATATTCCTTTATTAATACCATGTTGTCAAGTTATATTCAAAAATAAAAATAATATAACAACGGATCTAACGTTACGCAAAGAACGGCACACGAGACGAGACGCAACTGAAGCAACAACAAAATATATACTACTGTAACTCGATGGGGCTATCGATTGTGTTATCGATTGCATTTGTCTAAATAAGGGGGTTTGTTTTGTTTATGAAAATAATTAGTATCCATTATAAAAAATGTAAGTCAAATATTCATTGATGATAATTAACAGTTAAATATTCCATTTTATTTGCCTCTATTCCTTTAGTGTCTTTAAAAAATACAACAGAGCAAATTTGTGTTGCAGTAGAGTTGCTTGGGAACAGCGTACGTGCCTACCATCGCAACAAAATAATCCAATTTGAGAATATCGATACGCAGCCGATTATTTCACAGAGAACGGGCACACTGTTTGATTGCTTGGATTTTTGCTTAAGGCAAATCCAAACTCTGTTCGTAAAAACATTTAAAGTGCGACACATAAATATTTCTAAGTAGTCAAACCAACAAAAAACAACATCTGCAAGGTAGGATTGTGAAATGCGTATATTAGAAATCGAAAAATCCTAGCATATATTGCTTCAAATCGAGTACGAATGAGACACAATCTGAAGTGAAAAAGTGGCACAATATTAAATACATACAACTCATACATATGTATGCATATTATTTCATAGATTGGCGAGTGGGCGCGTGTGTGTATACATGCATGCACACATACATACAAACATTACTGCATTAAGTAGATCTAATTTCGATGCACATCAACATAATTAATGCCTGATATCTTGCATTTCCCCGTCTCTAGTGCACTGCGACACTACACAGCAACACCTGTCGCCTCAGAGCGACGTGCAATGTTCAGGATCCGTGTCAAAATGGGCCCGCAACGCAATAACAACAACAACGGGAACAGCAACCATGGCCGGGTCAACAAGGAGTGGACCTGCTGCTTTGGCCTGCATGTGCATACCGCTACATTGATGATTGGCCTATGGCACCTGGTAAGCTATTTGCGACGCAAAAGCCTTGATTAGAGTATCTACGCACACCTACGCATTACTGCAGCTATTTCCGCGCAGCTGACACATACACGCACACAAGTTGACCCTGTTCAGTGTCACGAAGGGAAAAATCAATTGTCGCTGCACTGTGACTCTCAAACTGTTACCGAGGCAGCGACTTTGAAAGTTGCAAAAACCGCTGAGAAGGTTGTCAACTTTCGCTTCTCGTATTTCGCGCAATTGTGACGTCACACGAGCTGTGCTGCGACTCAAGTTTTATTTGCATGAATCTAACCGCAGGCCAACCCACTTCGAGTCGCCCGGCGCCTCGCACGATTTTGCAATATTTAAACAAACCATTTATATTACGACGTGACATATGCCAGTTGATTTATAGGAATTTTGCAGTATTGAGTCGTTAGACTTTGCTCATCTCAGATTTCGGATTGATTCAAACTGCAAGCCTTGCAAAAATTGAAACGTTTTATCAAAACAATTGACTTAACTAAGCAAACATTTGCGGCTTTGGCTTTGACATGTTTCAGCTCAATTTCGGCACAATGTTAATCACACGAAAGGTCATGCGTAAGGTTCAGCTAATTTTCATAATGTTAATGCTATAAAAATAGCTGTTTCCAACCATAAATATTTAAGCAGGGCCATCCAAAATGACCATGAATGTACAAAAGTAAATATGGATCGAAAGTTTTCCACGTGACGAGACATTGCCTTATTTTTACCCATGTACGGCAGTTCAGCATAAACATTTACTCTTTTTATACTCTTAAAAAGGGTATAGTGTGTTTGTCATCGATTGTGTAACTATATTGTGTTCAGTCTAACTTTCAGTTCTACCATTTTCTCTCCGCAAAATCTTATCAATATCGGACTACTGTATTCTAAAGATATAGGAGATATATTTACCAAACTCAGCAATGAAGGCTTCATAATTCGCTCCACATATCTTCAAATCCGTAGTCTAAGTAGCAAGTGTATGTTATATTCGGTGTGCCGAAGGTAGACGGCTTTTCTTGTTTGTTTTTACTTTAGCTAGTTGTTGAGCATACTCTTTATTTGTGCATCAAAATTTGCTTATCTGTGTCAGACACATCCGAATTTTTAAGAGTTCACTTGATTAATCATGCCCTCATCTCTATGCGAGCGGATGTTTTATTTGGTGACTAAGAATATCAGGTTCCTGAAGTAATTAATTGTTATTGTTGATAGCACGATTTATTTATTTTATATAGTCTCCATATTTGGCCTAATGGAAATTACAAGTATTTTGGCTTTAAAGTCATCACTTTCAGAAAACAAACTTTCGCTCCTGCAACCTTCAAAGACTAACATATAAAAGTTCACAAATATGTATGTGTATATATATGTATATAGATTTATAAGTTCGGTCACGAATTGAATTGACTTATTTGTCTTCGTCAAGTGGACACAATTTCTATCAATTCACATTGTTGACAATTTTTACAAAGAACTCTATTATTAGCTGAAAATAAATTTTAATGTATAATGTATTTGGAACTCTGTTTGGCGGCCAATGTACCACTGCCAATGTCATCGGAGTCAACAGTGATTACGCCGTATCCGATTCCAACTGCAACGCCAATGCGATGCACCAATATAATGAAGATACATACGAGGACGAAGAGGGTAATTCAACGTCTATTGAGTCCATTGCCTCCTCCAACCCACTAAGCGAAGAGTCTGAGTTTGGGGCTAGGCATCGATGGCAAGAGAAATTTGAGCCACGGGCTGTTAATTCCTCTGCTTATACGCCCATCTTTTGCCAGTCTGATACGCCCCATAATAATTTGACAGATCACACGCTTATGTCATTGGGGTACAAAGCACCTGATGAATGGCCGGAGCTGAAGTGCCAAGCGCGAGTCGCCAAGCCAAATCTTTACGAGCTGCTGTCAGAGATAGTGCAGAAAGATCGAAAGACCAATGCTGTGATTACCATTGCGCAGAGCAGTCTCCAAGTGCATCTTATCGTGCTGCAGTGCTTCTCGGGTCTGTTTTGTGATTTGGGCAACGATACTGTGAACGTGGAGTTGCCATCCGAGTGGGTGACGCCCCGCGCATTTCGGCTTATTTATGATTGGATGATTGCGGATGCGCCTCTGTTGTCTCGGCTCGGCTTATTGGAGGTGTTGCGCGCCGCCAGTTTTCTTAGGATACCGCAGCTGGAGAAGCAGTGCGAGCACTGCCTGGCGCATGGCATCACAGAGGAGTCGGCAGTGCTGTTGTATCTAGAGGCGCGACTGCTGCGCATGGAACGAACGCATCGTCCTTTGCTGCAGCGCGTCGGTCGCTTTTTTCTGACTCTAGTCGCCTCTCAGGAGTTCCTCCAACTGCCCATGCATGCTCTTTGGCTGCTGCTGAGCTCAAACGGCATAGGCGTCAACACAGAACTGGAGGTCTTCATGGCCGCCGTGCGATGGCTCAACTTCCAATGGCCCACACGGCGGCTCATTATAGCCCAGCTAATTTCATGTGTGCGCTTTGCCCTAGTGCCTCCCTGGTTGCTCATTCGTCTGCACGACCGGCACTCCACATCCATTGAACTAAAGCGTATTATCTCGCAACCAGAGGTGCTGCAGCAGTTACACGATGGCATTGGCTACACCACGACACGGCTTTGCTATGGCTCCGATCGAGACGCGTTTATGCTGCATCTGGAGCGCACTGGCATGCAGCCTCCGGAGCAGCGCAATTGGATCTACGATCGAGAGTGCACCTACCACCATCGACTGCACTGCCAGATCTCCGATGAATTCCCATACGAGGCCTTCATAGGCTATCTCAGTTGGCTTCAAACGCAACATGGAGACTATTGGCAATCGCTAGAGCCGGTGGACGTTTCTGAAGTGTGTCTCTGTTGCCAAACAGCTGCCAAAGAACTGAAGGAGACCTTTCATATTTAGAGATTTTTATTATAAAGACTTTTTCTTCCACCTGTGGAAATATATTTTTACCATTTAAAGAAGATTTGTTCCTTCTTGCAGAGAATCGAATGAAATCGTTTGATTTCATGCAATTTCTTATGCCCTCTCCTCTTTTGACAAATAGAGAATAGTGATTGGTATAGAATTATAATCTTTATTAATTAAAAAAAGGCAGACGGACATGGCAGGCACTCTCGTCCTTACCTGTAGTTGTCCGGCTTTTAGAGTTTACACTGTAGTTAATTGAGGAGTTATATGTTTTAAGACGAAAGAACTGATAATTCTTGTTTCTTATTTTTCGCAGTTCTTGAATATTCTGGCACTGAGCGTCCTGGCTGTCATTTGGCGCAATCCGGAAATGATGGATGAATTGGAAAGCGGTAATCATGATTTTACCGTCGATCTTAATGCACCCGCTTTGCCCACGCCACTGAGCAAGGTGGATCCGCCCTACGCCTATCGTGATCATTCCCTCAACTACCGTAAGCGTTACCGTAAGCAGTCGGGTCTGAGCTGCGCTAAGAAATCATTGTTAATTTAACTGCTCCCGTTTGTAGAGAACTTTGACATGGGCGGTCTCGTGTGCACATGCATGATAGCCATTACGCTGATGATGATTTATGGAACAATCAAGGGGAAGCCGTCTCATCTGTTGCCCTTCTTCTGCTTGCAGCTGTTCGACTTTGCCATCACAACGTAAATGTTAAATTTGATATGATATACTTTGACTTTTAATAACGTGTTGCATGCTTCGCATTTGTAGATTGACCGCCGCTGGTTACTTGTGCTATCTACAGGCCATTCATCGTATCATTGCCGAGTCCCATCGACTTCCGTGGCGTGAGAAGCTGCTGGAGCTGCCGCCCGAAGAGCTGGTGGTTGTTGTGCTTGTGGTTTTTGTGTGCATCGTGTTCCTTAAAGCCTATTGCATTGGCATTGTCTGGCGCTGCTACAAGTACTTGACTCTACGACAACAGCATCTGCGCAGCTTGCTACCCTGCGTCCTGCCCGAAATGGCAGTCCGCGGCATTGGCGGCGGTGGCTTTGGTGCTGAGGAGCGGGCGTATTCGACACTGCTGCCCAATTATGATGAAGCCATTGCTCAATACTTGAAACAGGCACCACCACCATCCTATCAGGTGGCTATGTCCAACTATCAAAATGAGGATGAAGGTGCCACGGGTGAAGCACAGGCTGTTGACGGTGGTGGCAGCACGCCACTGTTTGTGGCACTCGATGCAGTCGCTGCCAATGCTGCACCTAACTCGAATGACAACCTGGACAATAACAACGACATGCCCAACAACAACAATACGGTTCATGTGAATGCCAACACTCCACCAATGCGACGTAGCGAACAGTCGAATACAGGTAGCGCCAGTGTCTCAGACGATTCTAACGGCGATGACGACGAAGAGGACCTAGAGGTTATTGATGGTGGCGTCGATGTAATCGAAGGCGTAGTGCCGCCACCGCCATACAACGACATTACTGATCCTCATGTGCAAGTGGGACTGCATTCACCCCTTGATCGTCAGGTTAATATACCCGGTCAGGTACCTGGACGCAACGAAAGTCAGGCCTAAGTTGTGATTTCATTAAAGTTTTTACATAATTATCGTGTTGTGAGCAAAACATTCGCCCACACGCTTCCTCTCTTGCCCCCATATTAGCACAACTTTTCTTGTTTGGTTGCCACATATATTCCATATATATTCCACATACGATTACATTATTTCTGTCAATGCAGTTGATTTTGCACAAAAATGTGTACCCATTCGTATATTAATATTGTATGTATTACCGTATTGAAAAATGTTTGTGAATCAGAATGAAAAAAATTCTGATATATTTATTCCGCTAACAGTCGCGTATTGTTATTAATCGTAAAAGGCATCAAACCTAACCAAATATAAATATTCTCTGAATTTTGCTCTAAAAATTAACGTATATGTATGGCAAAATGCTCGTCTAAAGCCCCATAAAGTTGTATACTTGGCCGCGTCAATTTCGTTTGGCATTTGGTTTTCATTTAGTTATCCTGTGAATTTTACCTAGTTAAGCGCAAGTAGTTGTTACCAAAAAGAGAGTCGAACGGATGTTATAAGAATCTAAAGGGAAGTATATTTATGCGAAAGCATGTTCTTCTTATGTTTTAAGCTAACTTGTAAGACTTTATGCATATTTACTGGTATGTCAGTTTTTTAATTTAAATGTGTGCATGAATTTCATGTACTACACTTCACAGACATACGAAAAATATTATTTATGTATGTACAACATCTATATGTATACTATATACTAAATATGCAAAGATATTCGAATAAATATTAGTTTAAAATATACAAAATTAACATTATTTTGTAGAAATTAAGATTATTATAGCTTGAGACAGTAAAATCAAATGTAAGAGCTTTAACACCGAATTAGAGACGGCTACGAAGAATTTGGAGTGAAAAAGATATTGAGTGAGCGAAAATTTACGTAATGAAGCAGATTTAAGCACTCCTGTTAATTAATTTTGGAGAGGAATGAATAATTTATATCTGTTGTCAACAGGGTTGGGCTGAGCTGTGCCTTGTGAAAACTTCCCGTAAGTTTTTGTGCGTGTTTGAAAAGTTTAGTTTCATGTTCGTGTTATGCCGTGACATTAAAATCCCACTCCCGCCTATCTTCCTACCGTACATACATATTCGAAGAATATTTCAAAGTAGGATACGCTCGCCCAGAGCACAATTACTTCTCTTGTTGGCAGGCCCACTAGCTAATCATTTTGTCTTCCTGACATTTTTATTTCTTTTGCGATTTTATTGTAAGAAAAAAAAGAAATTAAGGGAACGATTCAAAAACTAACTGGGTAGTGTTCTTTACGTTTACCTTCAATTTTAACCATGAGTATAGGGTATCTTCTATTCGAGAAGTCTTACATCATTAAGAATTTGCAGCTGGCCACACGTGCGCGTGCCATTATAATTTATTTTGAGTCTGACATCTACATCACATGCAAGGTATTTTAATCGATTGGACTTATTACTGATTTATAAGAGCACTTTATAATTTGATAAGAATTCTGAAGTCTGAAGTAAATTAGTTTGCAAGTCTACATAAAATGTTTGAATCAAAACATCACGCGACTCCAATTGGGTTGGAAATTATACATACCCATTTATCACAAACTCGTACGATTTTGTATTTTTATACCCTATAAAAGAGTAGAAGGGCTATGTAAAAATGAGGGGCTGCGAAGAAATAAATGCGAGGCAACACGGCATCCACAATACAAAGATGTTTAATTGTGTTAAGTAAATTCTTGTATTTAGCCAGGCTTAAAATGCTTTTATATTTAACAAAGTTTCCCTATGAATTATGAATTATGCATATATAAAAAAACTCCTCTGTTTATCAATACAGTAGCCCTAAAAAGTGAGGTGATTTCCAATCCCAAATTCGTATAAAAAGTTGTATTGGTATTTGTAGATTGTTTGCATTTGCAAGAAAACACACCTATAAAAGTTGTATCACTTTTACAATACGTATTCAACAATACTAATGAAAATAATGTGTTATTGTTTAATTGAGACTTTGGCATGCTTCTCGAACGAGTCAAGATAATTTGCCAGCTCATAGTATAGCTTGTGTATGAGCTAGGAGCCATAAATTAATCAAATTGCTATCTTCATTGTAAATTTTTAACTGGATTTACTTTATTTTAGTAAATTGCGTTCACAATGCTACAGTGACTGATAATAGTATCAAAACCATATTTTGATAGCTGACCCATCTGGCCATGGCTCGTAATCGAACTTATCCTATAAGCTTCGATTTAGAATTATGGCTAACAAAGAATATTATCCTTCTGGCTCCTTTGCGTCCTTGGATTTGCTGTCGTTTTTTGAATCATCAGAGGTCGGCCGCTCTCTCAAAACCGACGACATATTTATTTATAAGCTGTACATACTTACGTCGGGGAGAATTATTTGATAAACGCAAAACATCAGTGATAATTCTTAGAAATCCAATTGTATGAGATCACATCTATGCATATTTATGCATTTGCAGATGTACTGTAAAGGTTATTATCGAAGTTCGTAGCAAGTTGGTGTAAATCTGTTCATTATAACTAATGGCTTATTGCCCGATCTGCGAACCATTTCAAGCCCATGCTAACCGTCTTGCCTAAGGCTTACCAGCAATATGTGCCATCGAAGGCTGAGACGAAGAAAAATCGGAGACATATTTTTTAACTTGTGCTTTATATCAATTATCAATATCAATATAAGTATTTACAAAACTTTTTTATCTACTGTTAAGTCTAAAATAAAAATTTACAAGGATAGGGTGGTTATATTAACCGATCTTGGATGAGAGTTCCGCAATCTTCTCCGCATTCGAACTCCTCTTATTCTACGCCTCTTTAGAAGGCGCCCAGACGATTTGCAGACTGTTTATTTATAATGTCCATGACTTTAGGTACTCCTAGGTATTATTCCAAATCGGAAGTACGCATTACCAGGAGGCACCAGACAGATTGCGAAGCGTTTTTGCCTGTAACACCCTGATATTTGCCACGCCAGGCGGGAGCTTGTAAAGAAGACATATAAGTTTGCGAAAATCGAATAGAAGAAAATATAATACCTCTTTTCTTCAGCCATGTATCTGGGTGTTTGTCCGCTACAATATATACCCAAGAACTGCAATGGAACATTTTTTCGAATATTTGCACTTGCCAGCAGCCATAAATTAACCAAATCGCAATCTTCATTGTAAATTTATTGGTTGCATGCTCCTTATTTTTCTAAATAGCGCTAAAAATATCATGGATTTGATACTAGTATCAGGACCATATTTTGATAGTCTTTTATCAGACCATAGTGCAAATCGCCCAACTCCTTATGGCGCTGGGGGGTATATAAGCACCAGTATTTTGGCATTTGGCATAGACGAGTCACAACCGATTCTCAACTATGGCTAATAAGGCTATTATCCTTCTGGCTGTGCTCCTTTGCGCCCAGGCCGTCTTTGGAGTTGCTGTCGTCTCCAAATCGGCATGGGGCGGCCGCGCGCCCAGGAGCAAGACCACTTTGGGCAACAATTTAAGCTACGCCGTTATTCATCACACCGCAGGAAATTACTGCAGCACCAGGGCTGCCTGTGCACAGGAGCTGCGCAACATCCAGAGCTACCATATGGACAGCCTGGGCTGGCCCGATATTGGCTATAACTTCCTGATCGGTGGCGATGGCGCTGTATACGAGGGCCGTGGCTGGAACGTTGTCGGTGCACATGCAACCAACTGGAACTCCAAGTCCATTGGCATCTCCTTCCTGGGCAACTATAACTACAACACTGCCACATCGGCAATGATCAACGCTGCCAAGGGTATTTTGGCTGATGCTGTATCCCGTGGCCAAATTGTGTCTGGCTACATTCTCTATGGCCACCGTCAGGTGAGCGCCACTGAATGCCCCGGCACAACCCTGTGGAACGAGATCCGCACCTGGTCCAACTGGAGGGCTTAATAAAACCCTGGAATGGATTCCAATTTAAAAAACTTACAAATGCTGCAAAATAGAAATTCATGAAAATACAATAAACGCTTCATATGTTGAGGTTACTAATCGGTTTGTGAGGATATAATCGTCAGATCGACATGACAAGGCCATAAATGGAAGTGAATTGGACTAGACAAGGGTAGTAACCGATCCAGGCTTACTTTTGAAAGAAGCTTTTGTTAGTGATTGAGGCCAGATAAAACAATATCAAGTACATTTTAATTGTTCAAATAATTAATACAACAAAATTATGTTAGCTAGATCCAACTAGGAAGGAATATTCTCGCTCAGTATACACAGAGATTGGCGTCCCTAAAAACCGGAAAAATCTCTCTCTGATGATAGGTAGAACAGATAAATGTGAGACAAAGAAAAAACGGAGCAAAGCCGCGTCATGGGTCGGATGTCTTACAACAGTTTCAGAAGTTTCACAAGCGATCCGTTCGAGGTGCAAGTTTTCAATGATGCAAAATATATTCAAATTGGAAAATAGCTATTGTAATCTTAATTTGTTTTATATAATCTTCTATTCGAAAAATAACGAGAGCTCGGAAATGCCCGACTATGAGATACCCTGAAAGATACTCTAGTGTTAACGATTACTTTCTGTTTGTTCAATTTTGTGGGGAGTGGAGCGAAGTATCTAAAAATTGAAATATTTTAATTCTGTATATGCAATCCGAGAGTCTTCAATCGAGCTAGTTTTCTTATTTTGTGAATTTTGATCAAAAACTTATTTTTACAGCTGTCAAAAAAATAAACATGCTCTGCTTTGGTATACGGGAATATATATTTTACTTTATGCTCTCTAGCTTTTGTAGATTTCCACATTCCCGTTCATACAGACAAACTGATCAGGAATATTGTAACTAAATAAGGTCGGCGCAAAACTATTATAGCCTTATTAACAATTTTTAATGAGTACAAAGTATAAGAACTGAACAAAAGTGTAAATAAGCTCTGTTTGGCGGGGAAGTCCCTCAGAAAAACACCCGATGAATGCTATTAACATATGTATATAATTATGACAGTGTATTGTATTATAAAAAGTTTTTATTTTGCAGCAGTTTATATATATATATATTTGAAGCTTGAAGAGCCTACAGCCAATCACTTAAGCCTTCCAGTTGGACCAGGTGCGGATCTCGTTCCAGATGTTGGTGCCAGGGCATTCAGTAGAGCCCACCTGACGATGGCCATACAGAGTGTAGCCGGAAACGATTTGGCCACGGGCAACAGCATCAGACAGCAAACCCTTGGCAGCTGTGATCTGAGCGGAGGTTATTTTGTCGCTGTTGTAGTTGCCCAGGAAGGAGATGCCAATGGACTTGGAGTTCCAGTTGGTAGCATGAGCTCCCATAACGTTCCAGCCACGACCCTCGTATACGTTGCCATCACCACCGATCAGGAAGTTGTAGCCAATATCAGCCCAGCCCAAACTGTCCATATGGTAGCTCTGGATGTTGCGCAACTGCGTCTCGCAAGCGCTTCTGGTGGTGCAGTAGTTACCAGCGGTATGATGGATTACAGCATAGCTCAAGGAGCTGGCCAGCGTGGACTTGCTAGTGGCCGAGCGACCGCCCCACTGCGACTTGGTAATGATGGTTACACCAAAGACGGCCTGTGCGCATAGGAGCACGGCCAGAACGATGAGAGCTTTACTTGCCATGACTCTGAATTGGTTTTGAGACTTGTGTAATGGCCGAGTGCTGCGGCGCTGCTTATATAGCCCGGGCAAGTGCCTTATCTCTGCCGAATGAAGCGCGAAACACACGACACTTGTTGCGCACAAATATATTTATAAGAGGGTTGGGGGAATTTCGATCTGATACGAAGACTATCTAAAACAATTCTGATACTCGTGTGCCATTCCCAGCGTTGGCCGAATGAGTTTTTAATCAAGTGGCAAGCGGCATTTAATTAATTTGTTAAAAATACTCATTGATTTCAAAAATAAACAATTCATGTAAGTTAAGCTGTTAAGCTTATATCTATCTTATATCCTTTAGTCTATACTCTGAGAGAGGATCTTCACACAATGTGCGCATCGCATTGATAATGGGCACGTGGAAAACAGAAAACAGCTGCATCTTCTACGTTCTTAGAGTTAGAATCAATAGCTTGGAATTTTTTGATTGGTTATCAGCTAACTTTTGTCAATGACGTTAGTAAAGTATTTAGCCAAAAGAAGGTGAATGAGGCTATGGTAATATATTAACATGTCTAACGATTACAGGAACATATAACAATGTTAGTAAAATGCTGGATAAATGCGAGGTAAGACGAAAATGTTTTAAGAAAGAACAAGAAAATAATATAACTAGAGTAAGCGAACCGATGGAAGAGAATATTACTACGGATTATATAGAGAGATATTAAGGCTGAGAAGTTGTGATGGAAAATCCTGGCCCGACGGAAGATTTCATATCGGGTTCGGCAAGCTTTGCTTCTACGTGGTTATCAATAAGGCTACAGATTTGCGCCCGATATATGTGTAGGATATTGAAAAAGGCTGAAAGACCCTTACATTTAACAATTAAAACAGCTTTCTAAAGCTATTGCATTTAATTTTCATATGGGGCCGGAATCATAATTCTTTTATGTACAACATTTTACCTGCTGACGGACATCAAATGATAAGAAATGTTTTTTTTTTTCGATATTTAGGTACTTTATCGTATGGATGCGATTCTTATATATATGTAAGCTAACTGATACCCGTTTACGCTTTACGCTTGATATGGTTACATGTTTAAAAAGACTTTAACCCTTAAAAATTGTTTAAAATTTGGGAGTCCAATCCTATTAACCAATTAAGATATGCTGTCTCTTTGTTTCAATTCTAGTTTGTCATATTTGTGGCAAGAAGTCCCTGAGCTCTTGTTCGCAGTTAATTTGCCTTAGAGCGTGGCCTGAGTACACGAATAGTTATGGCTGATATGAAAAGATTTTCTGTTTGATGAGATAACAAGTAAACTCAATTTGAACGATATTTAATTGATTATTTATTGTTAGTTCGGTCGAAATCAAGCTTTCCAGTGAGACCATCCACGGATCTCGTTCCAGATGTGAGTGCCAGGGCATTCCGTGGCACTTACTTGACGATGGCCGTATAAGATATAGCCCGAGCTCAACTGGCCACGATTGACGGCATCGTTGAGCAGGCCCTGGGCAGATGCGATCATGTTCGGCTCCAATGTGTCCCAATTGAAGTTGCCCAAGAACGAAATGCCAATGCTCACCGAATTCCATTCGGCAGCATGGGCGCCCATCGAATTCCAGCCGCGACCCTCGTACACAGCGCCATCACCGCCGATCAGGAAGTTGTAGCCAATATCGGGCCAGCCCAGGCTGTCCATGTGGTAGCTCTGGATGTTGCGGAGCTGTTGTGCGCAAGCGGCACGCGTCTCGCAATAGTTGCCGGCCGTGTGGTGAATAATGGCATAGTTTAGGTAGTTGCCCAGGGCAACACGGTAGTTTGGAGCACGACCACCCCACTCCGCCTTGGAGACCACATTGACCCCTTGGACTGCGTGCTGGCTGTAAACCAGAACAGCAAACACTAGAGCGGCAACTGCTTTAGACACCATGTTAGCTATTTTCAATTTGATAATTGATTTCTGCAGTGGTGCTTTTAAATGCGATTTTCTGCTGCCAAGTTTGGCTTATCGAGCTCTTCAAAACGAACAAGTCATCTTGAAACTGCTCTCAATATTTTATAACGAATATTATTTATGGTAATGACTCTCTCGTGGGAAGTACATTTGCAAGGCTTGCATTGATTTACGTTGGCAGCCGACTGTCGCCTTATCGACTTAGTATATGTATATATATTTTGTGTATACAACTTGTATTGGCTCACTTTTGTCTCGGTTCATAGGTATATAAGATTAGACTGATAGCAAAGTGGTGTATGGCTTCACTCTGTTGTGAATTCCTTATCACTTCAAGAAGCAACTAATATCTTCGAAACCCATGATCTGAGATTTCATTGTGAAATACAACTGCAACAACACAGAGAATAACAAAAAGATGTTGAGAAGCGAATACAGTTTAGGAACGTAACTTAAACGAGGATCAAAAACATGTTACCTTATTACTCAGCCTTACCTTTGAAATGAGCTTGAAGTCGATTGGATTTAAACAAGAAAGTGCAAACATTAAACATCCACTTGCATTCCAAACATTTATATACAAGAACTACAAGCAAGTAAGTTTGAAGTCGATAAAATGAAACTTAGAACATAACCCCTAAGACCTTCGACCACCATTTTCCACCTAGTAGGGATGAAATTTGCGAATTGATCTCTTCAGCACGTGGACTTGCTTTGAAAGGGAGGCTAAAATGAAGATCCAAATGTCTTCGCTATACTGGACACGGACGAGGATATATCGGCACTTTCAACAGCTAAGAGCTAGCGAATTGAAAAGATTTTCAAGCTAGTCGGCCTTGATTTCAAAAATAATCTGCTGACCGCTTACAAAATTTGTAATACTTTAAGCACACGAATAATTTCTTCATTTGTACGGTATATGCGATTAACGCCATGAACAATACGTTTTCCTTAGATCGTGTGTACGGCGAGGTAAGTACCTAATGCAAATTGGGACGGAAACTCACTAATTAGCCGCTAAATAAAGATGAGCTGCTACAGTTTGATGCAGGTGGACTTTAAGCAACGTTGTCGTTTATCTAAGCAAATTAATAACTGCAAGCATATTACTCATTTTTTCGATTATTTCCGGTTGATGTATTGCAATATTAATGTTCAAACCAAAACTAAAGAAATAGGTATTGTGTGCATATTCATAATGATTGCAATTGTTCTAATGTTGACACTCGTGCATATATTGAGTAAATAGTAAGTTCAGTTGTCATGCATTCCAACTAAACTTAATGCCGATTGCACTTCAGTTTTGGAGCCGTGTTGAAAATTATGTCGGTCAAGCTTCATATGAATGAATATGTAGCAGGCGCTACTCTGTTGTCCTTCGGCAATGCCATTCCGGATCTGGCGGTCAATTTAATGCCGGTTCGTGAAGAGGCACCATTATTTACAATATCTATAAGCAATGCTCTAGCTGTTATTCTGCTCAGTGGGGGCATGGTGTGCTTCCTCAGACCTTTCAAAATAAATGGGCATTTTGCTGTGCGTGATCTTCTATTTCTGCTGTTAGCCTGCGAGGTCCTGTCCTATATAGTTATTTCAGGCAAACGGACAACTCGAATAGAGGCCATAGGTAAGCGAACCATTGGTCACTTTCAACAACAGATAATTGTTTGGGATTATTTTGTAGTGCTTATTTTATTGTATATTTTTTACTTTGTTGTTATTATTGTGGATCTAAAGCTGACGCGTCTAACCATAAAATGTAAGTGTCGAGCGCAAAGAGCATGCACTTGCTAAAATGTATTATAATTCCTTAGCGCTCAAGAAACAGATTAATGAGCTTCAAAAAAATACATTTACACCTTATCGAACTCGACAACTACACGAGAAGCAACTTCAGTTGCAAAAACTAGAAAATGACAATATATTGCTTATACACAGCCACACGGTAAGTGTCGATTTATACAACATGCAGCGCAGAGCTGCGTCGGATTTCAAGATCAAAGATCAAAGCAAGGGATTGAATAGTACATCAGGAATGAAGCCAGTAACTCATGTGCTTAACATTGAGGAAACTCGAAACATATTACATAGTCCAAGTAACCCAAGAAATCTATTCTTATGCAGTGAGTTTTGGGAAACGCTAGTACCGATCGATATTCAGGATTGGAAGTTCGCCGGCTGGTGCAAACGCCTCTATCTCATTCTCATATCACCCATTGTGCTATTTTGCAACATTTTCATACCTATCATTGACTACCAACAGCCCAAGCATGGTTGGAGCAAGCTTCTAAATTGCATGCAAATTATTATTACTCCCATTCTGCTGGTCACCTTGACAGAAGGTTTGTATATATCTTATACGGTGACAAGTATTTACTCATTGAACATTTTTGTTTATGAAATTATGTCAAATACCTTGGTTTATGCAGAAGCGATATCAGAACCTATAAGAGCTAGATAATATAGGTTCTCCTAGTCACCGCGAGGTACGATAACTTGCTCCGCTTCCAAAAAAAAAAAAAAATCCGATCGATATCGAAAGACTTTTTTTGTGCAAATTTCGTAGGTTTTAATGACTGGAGTCAACAAATTTGACATATTGTATAATTTCTAAAACAGTATAAAAATTCTTTAATCATCAAATAAGTTATTATAATAAGTCCAGTAATCGACCTTTTTTTGGTTCAGGGTATCTCAAAGCCAGTTTCATAAATAATCCAAATTTTGGCAAATTATAAGCATCAGATCTTTTCCAATTTTTCTTTCATTCGCTTTTGCATAGATCAAGCATTGCGAGAAAACTAATTTTGTTTTTCAAAATGTTAATAATAAGAAAGGTTCTTTATGAAAATACTTTAAGCTAGTCCTGTAAATAAAATGACTTAGTAACCTTTTAGCATTGATTACCATGAACATACGAGATTGGCATGTGACATTAAGCATTAAGCATGCATCGTGGTCCATGTTTCTTACTGTACCCCTGGCCATCATCGTGTTGTTCCAGACTCGCACGGATCAGCCACCACGGTATCATCTGGTGAGTCGTGAACCGGGCATCGTCAAATAAAACTTATCCATCTCAACTGCAATAATCGGCGCAGCTCTTCCTCACACTTACTGCCGTGACCTCTCTGCTCATTGTAACAACTTGTGCCATTGAGCTTGAGGTACTTTGCTGTATTGTTGGATTGGTCTTAAATTTGACCGAGAATTTCGTTGCTAGCAGCGTGCGATCCTCTGCCGCGGCAATTGCTGATTTAATTATGAACGTGGAAGTGGCCATGCAGGGCTATGAAAGAATGGCGTTTGCTGCTGTGCTGGCCGGACCACTCTTCAGTAAGTGGTAACTAGCTAATATAAAACAAGTTTTTGCTTATAGACACCAGATTTTTGCAGGCACAACGGTCTGCATAGGCATTCCCTGCTATTTCAATAAATTTGCGCAGCTCAAGGGCTCGTCGTACTGGATTTATGGCAGGCATGGTACGAATTCTTACATTTTCTTTGCGCTTATGATTTTCACAACAATGTTATGGACATTGACATTTAATTTCTCCGCTCGACGTTCTGCGGGCATCTTTTCATTCATAATGTTTATTCTGTTTGTTTTATATGCCGCGCTTGCCGAGTGGGACTTTGTCCATGATTTATCATATGATAGGATTTTCGAACCCCAATAAATCAATATGCACAGTCTAAATAAGAAGCAATGCTTTAGTCGCGATTGTTCGACTTGGAGATACCCTGTATAGAGCGCCGAATTTCTATTATACTCACGCACACATATCTGTATAATCTGTATGTATGAGTAAGTTTGATTGTAAGCTTTTCCAGTCCTGATTCGATGTCATATCGACCAGCACTTATGCTAGATTTCGAATGTAAAATAAGTCGATAATAGTTGCTATTGACGCAAGCTGTCAATGATATAATGCTCAAACCCGGGCTGCTCCGAAATTGCACTGCCTGCAACACGTGCAACGGATGGATGGAAAGTTGCAAGACGATAGCTTTGAAAATGAGAGGCGCTGCTCGTAACACATTGCATGACAAAATATTAATACCCTCTCAAACGATATCCTTTAAAAAGGTGTACAACAAAATATGGTTAAATATATAAACATAAATATAAGAGGCTCTCTGAACTCCTCACGAATCTACCACAACAAGTAAACCAGCTTCCTTCCTTCTGGTGGTGTAAATGCCAAAATATTTACAGAGTAACTAATTGAATGTTAATGCACCTTAATTTTTTTGTTACCGCAAATATTTTGGTATAATTCTGAATATCATTTGATTTTGAAATATTATACCTCTTTTGAATTCGTACGGATTCCTACCATCAATTGGCTTTCGCGGTTTTCGCCAGACAAAAATACTTCCTCTTGCTAACTCGAGAACCCAAGGAGTATAAAGCCAATATGTAGTTCGTTGTTATTGACCTAACAATATTGTCAATATTACCTTATTTATATTGTATATTTGGTAAAATAAAATCAAGTAAAAAAACAGTCTACCCTCATTGCTCATCTAAAAGATTTATAGATTAGAATTTTCAACTTTGAATCATAGTAAGCTTTGCGCTCAAAATCCAATTACCCAAAAATACCTTTGGCAAACAGAAAAAACTCTTCTGAAAATGAATCAAACATTTTCATTACAAGATACGTATAACACGGTGAGTTCTTAGATAGTCCGTTTGACCCGGAGACTAACGTATCCATTGTAAAAGATGAGCTGCTTCAGTGTGATGGCGGCAGACTACAAAGACCGTTGTAGCTTAGCTATGTCTGTGAAGAATTGCGGCCAGGTTATGAACTTTTTTAAGTATTACGAAATGTTGTACTGTCGTATAGATATTCAAAATCAGGTTACTGAGTTAGCTATGATAATCATATTGGTCTTAATTGCGATCATACTAATGATAACTACAGCGTATTTGGTGGATAAATAGTAAGTTGTTTTATCAAGCAAAAGACACGCATCTAACCACCTTTTTAAATCCCACTTCAGCTTTGCTCCAACATTAAAAATTATTGCAGTCAAGCTGAACATGAATGAGTACCTGGCAGGAGTAACATTACTGGCCTTTGGCAATACTTCGCCAGATCTTATGGCCAATTTAATGCCAGTTCGAAGGCACGCACCCCTTTTTACCATAACTATAAGCAATTCTTTAGCTCTTATTCTAATAAGTGGCGGAATGGTGTGCTACATGAGGTCCTTCAAAATAAATGGACACTGTGCCCTACGCGATCTACTATTCGTGCTACTTGCTTGCGAGTTGCTTATCTTTGTAATGTTAAGCGAAACCCGTATGACAGCAAGCGAGGGAGTCGGTAAGTTATATATAACTACAGTTCTTTCCATTTAATAATGTTTGTGTTGCCTTATAGTGCTTATATCTTTATATGTTGTGAACTTGATTGTCGTTCTTGTGGATAGAAAGTTGGTAGGTCTAACTATAATAAGTAAGTGACGAACGCATACTATACGTATAAGGTATACCAATTTCAAAAATATATCATTACTCTTCAGAACTTCACAGAGAGATCGATTTGATATTGAACGAATCTATTACACTAGAACGAGAATCGTTACTGAGACAAAAAATTACCTTATTGCGCGAGCTGAAGCTAGACCAAATATTGATTGTACGCCACCGACATAATGAAGCAAACCTAATCCCTTCCTCTCACAGTTTTAGTCGAACACATTCTTTAAATGGATTCTCAACAAGGAAAAATAGTGATCTGCCACCAGCAGTTAATCTAGTACAAACGCGAAATTCTATGTATCATCCACGTAACCGTAGGAATAAATCATTGTTCATGGAATTTTTCAAAGATCTGGTACCCGTGGATTTAGACAAATGGAGTGAAAGAGGCTGGTTTAGGCGCACTATTGAAATACTACTCTCACCTATTGCTCTGCCTTGTTGCATTTTTATACCTGTTGTCGACTACTCGCGAAAGAAGCATGGATGGAGCAAGCTGCTTAATTGTACACAAATTATTACCAATCCATTTATGTTTATTATCCTGACACAAGGTTTGTTAAATTTATTATCCTTATTGCTCTAAACGAGACTCCAAGCCTCCTATACTACTCCAGCAATGATTTCCAATGAGTACGACCACTGGCATTTGTCTATAGAATACAATTATGCGAAATGGTCATTGGTAGTGACCGTGCCTCTTGCCATTGTCGCCTTTATTAATACACGCACGGATAAGCCGCCACAATATCATATAGTAAGTCCCTTAACATCTGATATACGATAAAAATCATTTGATTTCAACTCTGACAATATGTGCAGCTTTTTGTTATACTTACCGCCAGCAGCTCGATGCTTATGATAGCGATTTGTGCCACCGAGCTGGAGGTACTCTGTTGTATTATTGGAGTTGTCTTTCATATGTCGGAAAGTTTTGTTGCTAGTAGCATTCGATCATTTTCAGCGGCAGTTACTGACGTGATTATGAACCTGGAGCTCGCCATGCAGGGCTATGACCGAATGGTATTTGCTGCGACCTTAGCTGGACCATTTTTCTGTAAGTTATCCTTTCATCGAAAATCAATTGTTAATAGAAAAGATTACCATTTCAGGCATTACGATCTGCATGGGCGTTCCCATGTTTTTCCAACATGAGCGGCATCAAGGCACTGCACATTGGCTCTTTGGGGAACATGGTGCGAACTGTTATTTTTTTTTTTTGCTAACTATTTTTACAACTCTGATGTGGACCATAACTTTTAATTTCTTTGCTCGACGTTCGGCGGCAGTTTTTGCATTTACATTGTATCTGTTATTTATATTGTATGCGGTGCTCGTTGAGTGGGGTTGGATACATGAGTTTGCAGATGATTTAAGTTTTGAACCCAAATAAGACGATTTTGTGAACCCTGCTAAAGGAAGGGGATCAAATTGCGCGTATTTAGAACAATTTTAACTAAAATTAAATTAGAGATCAGAACAATTTTTAACTCCAAGAGAGGTATAAATAAAATATACATTTCGATGTAAAAATGTATCCAATCAAAATGTTCTGCTTACCAACAAATCGGTTTCAAACTCATTTTCAAGATCTTTTTGACAATTTATCCTCTACGTTTTTCCCAAAATCCACTATTCTTTGATGGAAAGTGCAGCTCACAGTTTGAATTAACAAAACTTTATTTTTCAGCATTAAGATTCTCAACGGAACATATGGACGGAAACAATTGATTTAAACATTCTTTATTCGATGGAACTAAAAATGTGAATTGACTGAAGTTATGTAAAATTGGAAGAACAAAACTGTCGCGGGCATGCCCGGGGGTTACCTATATTAAGGCCGGTTTTTCTATCTATCCTATCTATCTTCAGCGTGACTTGACACCCTTGCAGAACCCTCTTATAATGCTCTTAAAGTAGCACTGGGAAAATAGTTAATACGGAGTATGGTTAAGATATCTTGAAGAACAAAAAGTTGTTCATAAAATAACCTCATTTTCCACCGATCGTTCCTATGGCAGCTATATGATACAACATTCCAATGTAGATAAGATTTTGTATATATAGGGAGCATAGTGATACCCCTAAATGCCGAGTTTGGTTAATATATCTTGATAAATAAAAAAGTTTTTCATACAATAGCTTAACAGACGGACAAACGGTTATGGCTATATTTACTCGGCTTTTGATACCGATCAAGAATATATACATATACTTTATGTGGTCTGCTTCAATGTGCGACACATTGTATGTGCATTTGAGATTGATAGAGTCATAATTAAGGCCACCAAAGATATTTGAATTTCATGAATGCCGACAAGGCTAATAACGTTAATAAAGTATCATAATTAATGTTCTGTCAAGTACCAACATTAAGTGAAATCTTCAGCTTAGATGTCGACATGCGGAGAGGCGGGCAAGGCGACGAGGTCCTAGACGGAGCATACAGACGGACGAAGTCTGGATTCTTAGCGTTCGTCTATTGAAACCCAGCGTTTCAGCTGTGTCTGCCTCTATATCTTGGCTCTATTTAAATAAAATAACTTGAATAAATAAAAAGAAAGCTCACAGCAATAGCAAAAGCTTGCCGTTAATTAACATTTCTGGCTGTGATTCAGCTGTGAGTTAAACCTTAATGCATATATTCGACTGTCGGTCAGCAGTATAAAGATAATTAATTGGGTTAACTCTTCAAAAATCTTCACGGGAGGTTAAGACAACTGAAAACAAAGGCAAATGCTTTATGTAAAGAAAAATGCTTTTGAAGACTCTTAAGCCAAGCCAATTTCTATGTAGCATCGGTTTCATTGAATTGTTGAATGCAAATGCTGCTGTGCTTGCATTTAACTAGCGCGAAATGCGAAGCCATCTGAAACATTACCATTACATTTAAGTGCAATCGCATAAACATAAACAAGTGCAACCCCACCCGCAAACGGAACATCGAAAAAATAGAGGAAGCCAAATGCGAGCTTCAACTTCAAAGCGAACGCCCGCAGAATTCCGGCAGCAATAAAAGCACTCAAGTCCCATAGACTTCCTGCTGCTGTCTGTGCACTTAATGTGACATGTTTTTGCAACAGTTTTGGTTTTTCTGTCGTCTATACTCCGGCTCTAGTTGCAGCTCCCTAACTCAGCTGCACAGAGCCAAGAATAACTAGTAAAATGGCGTAGATAGAGTCTGCTCAACCAGGATATTCTCCTTATAGAGGTGTGACATGTGAAGGGAAGCCTCTTCGACTATACAAATTGTTCGAGTGTCCATTGAGTCATTCTCGGAAACAGCGGAACCCATATAATGAAAATTATAATCTATGTAAATTCATACGCAGAAAAAGTTTATAAAAATTATCAATATCTGTTTCCTTTTCGCCAAATACCGAAAAGCACCGATTTTGAAACAAACTTGTCTCGATATATTATATCACATCAAACTTAGTTTGTAGGTTCCCTTTTTATTGTCCATTCCATTTCTGCGCTTTGGAATACTCCCGACTAGAACACTTGCTAAATATTCAAATTAAATATGCAGCCTAACTTGATACAAGCATATATACGTGCATATATACTCTGCATAGGTTGTATGCAAACTAGACATAGAATTGAGCCTGAATTTTAATCTACTCAATGTAATCCATTTTATGTGCATAGGGTATAAAAAGGAAAGCGAAATTCAGTCTATAGCTGGCCATGCTCCTTGAGTTTTGATGCATTTTACTTGTTATCAAATTGTTTTATATATTTTTTTTCGCATTTTTTCCGTTTTGCATATTGTCCTTGTAGGATTCTGTCAACATTCCCAAATTGAATGTTGGATGAAAATTCGCTTGGTGTGGAAGTCATTAAATATTTAATACCCAAGTGCAGCAAGGATTCGCATGTTATGTGAGACCCTTTGGTTATACTCTTAAAAACCCATCAGAGCAAGGAGCTGCTTAACTTTGTATATTGATACCTAAGATGTTTGTCCCGAATGTATTGTATATGAAGTGGACACTTATGATCATAGTACATGGTATCTCTTAGATTACCACAATCAACTAAAACACCTATACTTTTAATTGTTGAGGCTACTCTCTAGGTGAGATTTTTTGTACCGGATGTCCTGGCCCTGGAACCCAAATGACCCATTGACAATGTTGCCAGTGTAAATAAAGACAAATCTCTTCTTGCTTTTGTGCTGATTTTGATAGTCTTAGAGTAAAGATGATCAACTCTGAAATAAAGACTGCTGATGAGTTTCTCTTCTATTATGTTTACAATGAGTTAAGTGTACTTCCGGGTGTATGTTTTCCCACTAGAGCACTGTTGTTTGTTTTTGTTTTTTTGGTAGTTGTCGGGCAGTAAGTAAGATATCCTAGTACACAAGCAAATAAGCCGTCAGTTGCCATCCGCGGGGGTATACAATTACCTATTTAACAAGATACGATGCCAGGCGTGCGATTCACGGGCGACTAGGTTAGGCTTCAGTACCTGGCCAATAAATAGGCGCTTAGCATTATAACTCAATTAGCAGATAGCACTTTGTGCATACGCCACTTTGGCCACCGGAAGCAGGTCCCAGCAACATTTACAGAAAACAGCTACATGTAAATTATGCAGCCCTTAATTAATGGGAGCGCAGCGCGGGGTTGGAAGTATTGTTGTTCTCCATTTTACTGCACTGTCTCGCCTGGCCGCTTGTCTCCTCTCCTCTTTTGATTTGCATATCATTTGCCCGGGTGAGCATCTGTGTCCTGCGTTCTGTGTGTCTGTGCGAAACAGTTGGCTAATGAATCTGCAGTTGGTGCATTAGGAGCACGGGCAATGACTGTGGCTTGGCTCCAATTAGCTCAGACTACACTTGACTTCACTTGAATTTGCTCTGTGTCCCCCAGTGCCCTCTCACCAAGAGGTGCGAAAAGATTTCTGACTGAGTAGGATTACGGATGTTATGTTTTAAGCAATGATAGCAGGCCTATGTATATGCTAAAAAGATCATCAATCCAATTGCCAACAATATATATATATATATATTTTTCTTAAATCTAAAGAGGTATCTGCGGTAAACTGAGTTTTTCAAAATCAAGTGTTTGAATCTACGATTGTAGCAATGCATTGACTCATACTATCCAAGTTTTTTTGCTAGAACCTCGACTCCACACATTTAATTAATACTACTTAGTTACACATTTATGCCATAAACCTACATGGAAAAAACATGTATGTAATACGCAGAGCATTTCCGACCCCATAGGTAGGATTGGGTAACTCCGGTAGACAAGGCAGTTTGTCCTCTGCTTAAGGTATATATATTATTGGTGAGCAACAATAGCCAATTCCCATTATGCCATGTATGTAATTGGAGTCAAAATATATTGAAATTACTGTCAGACAATAAAATGAAATCAGTTAAACCCAATTTAACAACAAATTGAGAAATTGGCACTTAAACATACATGTAAAAAAATTTCTGCGTAATGTAACATTCTATTTAAATTAATTAATAATACCTCAATTTTCGATTTAATCGATGTGGAAAAATGGTGGCGGAGCTTTCGGAGCAGCCCACTTCATCGTTGCCGCTAGTTAATCAAGTAAACGTCTCCAAGGTTCAAGCAAGCGAAGAAACACCAGGCCCATACCAAGGCGCAAGTTGCTTTATTGCATCCACCTCGGACTCGAGTGTCAGCGAGTCACGGCGTTGGGCTGACTCTGTGTCGCGGATAGTCGATCGGACAGGCGAACTGGGCCAATACGTGAAGCAGATTATCGCCTATCTGGCGGCCAAATTCCGCGAGTTCTTTAATCCGGCAGGATATTTCGTATACGAAGAGCCGCCCCTGTCGCCGGAAAGTAGGAACCAGTTGGAAATCGTACCGCGCAAAACGCTTGTACTAGATCTAGATGAAACACTAGTGCATTCGTGTTACCTGGACCCGGACACAAACGATGTTGTTGGCTGCAATTTTGTACCCGAAACAGCCGTGCCAGACTATGTAATGCACATTCCGATTTTAGCAAATTTCCATCCCATTGAATTTCAGGTATTCAAGCGCCCATATGTCGACGAGTTTCTAAACTTTGTAGGCAGATGGTATGACCTGGTCATCTATACGGCCAGCTTAGAGGCTTATGCCTCCAACGTCATAGACAGGTTGGATGCTGGTCGTGGAATACTACAGCGTCGATTATATCGCCAGCACTGCATCTCTACGACTGTTGTGACCAAAAATCTGTATGCGGTCAATCCAGATTTGACCAGCACATTCATCATTGATAACTCGCCCAGTGCGTACCGCGATTTTCCGGAGAATGCAATACCAATTAAAAGCTACATCTATGACCCCAATGACCAGGAGCTGCTTAATTTGCTTCCCTTCTTAGATGCCCTTCGGTTTACAAAGGACGTTAGATCTATTCTAAGCCGGCGTGGCATCGCAGCGTAAAACAACACTTGACATCTAATGCAAATATTTTGTAAGCGCAATTGTTACATCTGCAAAACTGTCATTAAAAATCACCCGGGGTCTCTGGGGTTAGCAATAAATATGCTATTGCACTTAAATTCCTGTTGATCACAAAATTTATCAGTTTTTTGTTCTGTACACTGGTATATATATATCTGCACTTTTTCATATTAAAGTTCCATCGTCTGTTAACGTCAAGAATGGATGAACGAAAATGTAATATGGAAGATTGTCTAAATATAAATAAATATTTAGCATCTATATAAAGTGAAATTAATCAATGCCGAGATTTTTATACAAGAAAAAGTGCGACTTTACTTGAAAAATTAATAAGCAAAAAGTTCTAAATATATTTTAAATAATCAAGCGGGCCCCGAGTGCTGATCCAGCTCTGTACCTGTCCACGACTTAGCTCTCAATTTTAGATTATCGCTTTTTTATCATGTCGATGAGAGCGACTTAAACCCATCGAACCAGATGATAGCTTCAAATCTTAGATATTTTGCATTGAAACAGCAGCCGAACATGGTTATAGAAACCCGGCTGACAATGCTGAAATAGAAAATATATACTTTATGGGTTCGGAGATATGTCTTTCTATGAGTTACACTATGTTTTCTTGTTTCATATGTTTTAACAGCAAATAAATGCATTGGACTTTTAATCCAAGGGTCCAGGGTTCAAGTCCCTGCTCGGGCGATTTTTTGTCTTTTGTAATTTATTTTACATGGATAAATCCCTGAACTAATTGGTGAGAGCCAGGGAGGCCTATCAGACCTGACTAGGTAACCAAGTAGGGAACTCAGATATTAAATAGCTAGTTAAGGATATCATTAAAGAATTTAATGGACACTTGAACAGTAAGAAACTGTCGACTAATGCTGTATTGTATCGCTTCTTCAGGAACAATCGGCAAAACTTTAAGTTTTTAACGTTGATTGCTTTTAATGGTTCACTGGTTCAATGGCTTCACTATGTCTCCTACATAATAGAATTAATCGGATCTTATATGGTAAGATCTGTTTTCAAAGATATACTAATAGACTCAGCATTTTCGAGCTGCACTATTCTTACACATATTTCTGCAAAAGTGAAATGCCTGCAAGCTTATGAAATCTACGTCTGGGCGTAGGTTTTGTCTTATTTAAATATTATATTTTGAGGGATCTTAAGTTGAGCAATTTAAAATTAAAGAAAGCTACACATCATCTTAATTTAAACGAAAAACAATTAATTCAAATATTTTCACATGTATGTATGTACAAATATGAACAATTAACTCAAATTCTCACATGTATGTATGTAATTACCTCCGATACGCAAGCCCGGGTAGCTCAGTCGGTAGAGCATTGGACTTTTAATCCAAGGGTCCAGGGTTCAAGTCCCTGCTTGGGCGATTTCTTATACTTTTTATACATTTTCAGAGTAAAACTCCTCATTCTCTATAATCGTACGCTTTGTTATACCCTGAACCCATTGAAAATAGTTGATAAGGTATAATAGTTTTGTGCAGGTGTATGTAACAAGCAGAAGGAAGCACCCCGATACCAGTCAATTCAGTCAGGTGAAAGGACTAACATATACCATAGCATCTAGAAAAAAAGCATGTCGATAATTGGAATTACATATTTTAATAGTAAACATAATGAATAATCAATACCTCGAAAAACCTCACAAGAGGTGATTTTATAAATTGACTTTTATTTTTATCTTGTCCTGCTCATTAATTCTAAGATTAAAAACCTTTATTTTTCTCTTTTAATCCTTCATCCTTAGCATTGTTAAAAATTTGGTACACATTTAATTGTCATGAAAACAAGAAGGACACGTTTGGCAAATGGAGGACTGTTGAAATAGAGTTGGTTTTGTTGCCTTCCCCCAGCAAGGAGCGCCAACCCTTAAACCACCTACATCGATGAATCGTCGTCGATGTCGAACATTTAAGCACAATTGACTGCGCCTCGACGCATGGATGCCATGAAAATTTATGGCGGCGCAGGTGAAAGTTCTCCCTTTTCCCTGCCTTGTCACGTGCTCCATTCGTGGGTTCAAATCCAGTGGCACTCACTGTCATTGCACGAGCTGCAGTTAGGGCAACTGGGTAAAATTTATTGAAGTTGCACTGCTCAAGCCACTCAGTATAACTGCTTCATGGATGAATCAGATTTAGTTAGCATTAAATCCCATATTAATTTCCTATCAATCTTTTGATATTTTAAATCAAAATCCATTTAAAATGCACTCCTCAGATTTAGGTTTAATTGCATTGCTGATTATAGTTCGCCTCGACAAAAACCAACAGAAACAATCAGGCGTTTTTTGACCTGACCCGTCTCATTTGCATGGCTCGCATTGTTTTGTCTGTTTGCGACAGTTTTCACGACTGTTTATTTACAGAGCAAAAACCTTATATGTACTTGTTTTTTTGCTTCGTTCGGTTACGGACTTGTCAAAAAGTACATATACACTATGCGACCGAAAATGCATCACAACAATGTGTAATACGTTCAACAAAGGTTCAACCATTTCTTCTTATAGCTTACAATAAATTTCCAAAATTTTAAATAGCTTTAAGGAAACCGCGTAAATTATCGATCAATCGATTGGTTGTCAAGGCTGATTAAAAAAAAGGTATACTTTATAGGGTCTGAGAAGTCGCCTTCAACTCGCTTACACAAATTTCTTAAAAAATTTTACCCCTTTACAGGGATTCACGGAATAATTATTACAGGCTGCAGGACAAGAAGTGGATATTTCTCATATTAAGCCATTGTCGGCTTTAATACATTTTCTTTTTTCAGTGCCTTGAGAGATTCGTATAAAAACGGTGAAAATGTCGCACAACTGCTGGAATTTACAGTACATGAAGCATAAATGCAGATATGTAGCAGCTAACCTAGTCAGTGACTGGTTGACTGATTGCGTATACGCACCGTTGGTTGCACCCGAATCTGTTGCAACTTGCAACTGTAGGAATTCAATATCTATAGCAGAACGCTTGAATTTCGGTGCCCAATATTGAACAGTGCCCACATTTTATGACATAATAAATCAAAATCGTGAACTGAAGTCTCATAGATTAGACTGTCCCGCCCAAACGTATATTTTTAGGACTTTAACATGGCCTTGAAACATTTCATCAAACGCAGGAAATCGACGTATATTCTTGTATTTCTTTTTGGTTAATAAAGATATTTTGAATAATATTCTTATCACCAACTATACTAGATACTTTTTTGGGGAAAGTCAAAATAATGTTAAATGCCCTCATCAAGTTTGATAAAACTTATACACAGGATACATATTATACACAATTAAAAAATGAGGTAATTTTTAATTTCGCTTTCATGGTACTTTTACTTCAAATTAATGCTTGACATTTTCTCATCAATCCAGCTTCTAAAATATGGCACATTCGCGTATGCGGCCGGAATACCCTTCTTAGCGCACTCAATGCCCCATGAGACAATGCCCACAAGCTGGAAGCGGTTGGTTTCTCCAGCTATGCTGCAAAACAAGGGTGATCCACCATCGCCCTTACACGTGTCCTTTCCCTCAATTCCGCCAGCACATATGAAGCTTTCGTGGAGATTGTATCGCCTGCCGAGAATTGTGAGACGCAGCAAATTCTGGCAATGCTGATGCTCAACGACCGGCAGTTCAATGCGCTTCAGGATGTGCTCCATAGAATCAGCGCCAATGTTGCGATGGCCCCAGCCGGTAGCAAAGCACTTAGCCTTGAGCAGATCCTCCTGCAGCCGTGGATTCTCCACAGGTGGCAAGCAAAGCGGCTGCACGTGTGGTGCCAGCATGAAGGGCTGCTCCAGCACCATCAACGCAATGTCGTTACGAAAATTCAGGTCATTGAAGAGCTCGTGTAGCCACAGGTTGCGTAGGCGGCGGACTTGATAGGGAAGGGGCTCCCGCTGACTGGTCAAATCATATTCGCCGGCACGGGCCAGCAGAGAGGTCAAGCTGTGGTTGGCCACATTGTGGGCGCTAGTGAGCACAACCTGGGGATGTATCAATGTTCCTCCACACAAGTAATTGACATGCATGTCCATCACTGCCACCATCCAAGGATACTCGGCGTACCCCGCCTCATGGTCGTTGTAGCCTTCCATATCATAGTAAAGGCCCACGGGATTACTATAGCCGCATCCCTTGTACTTGAAGTCTTTTAGAGATCGGCGCACTGGATTCTCGCTCTCATGTAACTGCAACAAAAAAAAAGGCGAATTCATATTTGTGTTTGCGTATTGCATATTTATAATTTGGATTCCCATTTTACTGCTCACCTGATCAACGATGGGGCAGCAACTTTCGAATGTTAAACATCCAGAATTGCTGGAGTTGTCGATTCGTGGCTTAATTATATATCGCCCGTCCTCGTTAACACTCCCTGTTCGACAAAGGTGCCTGGGCACGCATAACTTATCCAGTTCACAACTCTTGTAGTCCTCCATGAGGTCCAATTCAAAGGGCGGCGTCTGAGTTGTCGCAGGAGTTTGTTTCTCTGGCTCGACGCTCAATCTTTGGCCAGTCATGGCAGCCTCATAGCTCTCCAGCTGCTCTTTATCGCAGCACACAAGTCCGAAGCCGCAACTGCGACCCAAAATCCGTGGAATAAGTATTCCACGTCCGGAGTCATCCGTTTCATTGCATCGTTGTTCCATGACACAGACCTGGTCGCTCTGACATATGCTGAAAACTGAGGAGGCGCCCACAAGAATAAGCAGCGAGAGAATCTTTAAAAAATGACCCATTTTGCAAATATATGCTGCAGGATAAAACTGCTGAAATATTTACAAGATTATGATTTTTAATTAATATATACAAAAAAATATTAAAAAATTAATTAAAATAATATATATGCCCAAGACATTGACTTACAACAAGGAAATTGAAGTCGAGTTAAAGTGTTTTATACTCTATACGAAATAAAAATAAAAGTGATGTAACCTGCTATCTATTATGAATGAATAATACCACACATCATTTTTCTTGTTTGTCTCGTCTCGTATATTGGAAATTCCGAATTTCTATCCTGATAGTGCCTTCTCTTCCAATCGAATACTACCAACTAGTTGCCAGTCAGTACCAGATCAAAACGTGATTTTTATGGCCGTGAACTTAGGTTTATTGTGAATGCTTATAATAATTAATAAATAATAATTAATACACAAATGCATGCAGATATGTAAGCTGCTTATTTTTCTACAGATACTCAATATAAATAAGAAATTATAAAAGTCAGCTAAAGTGCTCAGAAAAAAGATGCACACTAACTATAACTAAAAATAATATAATAATCTCGCGAAATTGATGAAATTTTGAAAAAGGGTTTATTTTTATTATATCATAACATACCAAAGCTCAAGATTCATTTTTAGAGGATCTTTAAGGATCTATGAACATCAAATTTAATAATTAATAATTAAAAATGAATAGTTTATCCAAGAGAATTAAACTGTTCGTGACATCGGCTAGCTGCTCCCGACAATAGCCTCCTAGTTAATCAATTGAAACCCTTGAACCCAATTGATAACCTATGCATCGCAGGAACGAGGCTTCATACAGCATTAAAAACGAAAACGGGGAGAGGTATCCAAAAAGTAAAATATTGTCAATTTTTGATATGTTTAAGAAGTCTGGCATTAAAATTTGTATTTATCGAATATAAGAGAATATTCATATATTTGAAGTTGCAATTCTCTCTTTGGCCTCGGATCAGCTCGTCACTTTGTTCACGAATATATAAATTGAGGTCGGAAATTCTTTCTTCTGAGCACTTGCACATTTGCTGAGCACATAACTTATTACAGCCCGATTATTAGTACTGTTCGCAAATAGTTTTAAGAATATTTCAAATTCAACTGTAAAATTGTAAAATTGATTTTTAAAGACACAACTTTAATTAATTATTATTACTTAAATACTTTCAAATATGATGCGAAGAAGGATGCGAAGTCGATTTAAAAGCGATAAATAAATGTTTAATAAAAAGTTTTGTTAAATACCAATTTGAATGGCATTGTATAAGTATGTTAAGTGATCAGTTCTCGTCACAAATATTTACATATTTACACTAGAAATCAGCACCAAAACAACGAGAAGCGCGAATCGCTTTTGTTATATTCAATCAGAAGTAACTAATTCAACTAAGTTTTCCAATCTCTCATTCATCTGTTTTATAAGCTGAATCGACCGCCTAACACATAAAGAGACTCCGCTCTCGGAGATCTCGAGGTATGTGTCAATGCAGTGAATATTTAAATTCTTAATAACTAGAAGAGCATGTCGCTTAGTTTGATATATTCGCGGCTAGCTTAATCATTGTTCTCTCTCTTATAAATATTTAGTAATTATTGCGACTCTAGCTGAGCAACTGGCTATCCGATTGTTTTCAAGCCGGTTCTATAAAATGCACAAGTTCTACTTCAAGCAGCTCAGTTGATATTGAGCGCGAACCGAACTCTGACTTAATCTCAGTATACACAAGTGCACACAGATTTGTATGTACATATAATAAATAAAGATAAGCTATTATGAAAGTGAGCTAAAGTGCGCATAAATACAGAAAATCTAAAAATGCAAACGAGATATTGAAAACATATGAAATGCTATTTACATTTATTAATAATGCAAAAAATATATTTCTATATGAATATAATTTTCGAAAACAACCAGAAATGCAGTTCTGTGCAATAACAATCTATTGTCTTTGACGTAACTGTGGTTCATCAGATATATAAACGATATTAACGTGTATTATTTGCGATAAATGAATTTTTCATTCAAGAAAGTCTGTTCCGTCGACATTCTGACTTCCAAGTTTAAATTGCGTTAATCTGATTTGTAGATGCAATTTTTATGCAAAACATAGTATGACAATGTATGTTTCTAAGCCCAAGTTTATTCAAGCCTTGCATATTTTCGAAACAAAATTAATATCCCATACCTAGTATTTACATACAGCAAAGAACTAGAATGTTTGCGACGGCAGCTCGGCTCTCGGTACAGGGTATTCCCCAATTGGGTGCTCCCAACAGCTGACACTCTTCATAAATGGAAACCTTTAAACCCAGTTGATAACCTACGCACAGCAAGCGCGCTTACTCTGATAAGTGTGATGCATAATCTTATCAGCTGGACTCTCAACTACAAATGAACCCCTTTTAATTTTTCTCTGTATTGCAGCTGATGGACGCCGCTCGATACTGGCACTCACTGCTGCTGGTCTGCATTTTTGTGGCTCAGAATCAGCTGACGAATGGCCAGCAATCCGAGGGATCGATGTCACCATGCGGCTTAACGGAAAGTTGCGTCACCGAACAGCGCTGCATCGAGTCGGACGATTCGGGACGCGGTGCAATTAGGCCAAGGATGGCGCGCGTCTGCGGTGAAGGGCTTGTGTGCTGCGACCAGGAGCAGCTCGACAGCTGGGACGCCGAACAGAATAGGACAGATGGACATAAAGCCACAACCACACCCATAACCACAATCACAGAGGAATCCTTCTACGAGAGCTGCGGCAAAGACATGGAATGTGTGCCACGAAAGCTATGCCGGGACAACATTATTATCGACGATGGTCGCTATCTTGTGCATCCCCGCATTGGCGATCAGCCGTGCACAAAACCCTTGCATCGCTGCTGTGCTGTGGACCAGCGAGTAAGTCTTAACCTTCGATTCTTCAATTCATGCTATATTATGCACCTTGCATGCAGGTGGCCGCCAATGAGAGCTCGTACGCTGTCAATCTGAAAAACTTTAAGTACCAAGGCTGTGGGCGTAGCAATGCCAAGGGCCTCATCGATGATTTTAAGTACCAAGAGGATGTTGCGTTCTTCGGTGAATTTCCCTGGATGGTGGCGGTGCATACCGGACGCAATCTGTACCTATGTGGCGGTACTTTGATTCACCCACAACTAGTTCTGACCAGTGCCCACAATATAAGGAACCAAACAGTGGACACTCTGGTGGTACGAGTGGGTGACTGGGATCTCAGCAGCTTCGCGGAACCATACGAGTTTCAGGCGCGCCGCATAAAGCAAATAATCGCCCACGAGGAATTCGATCCCGGTGCCCATTACAATGACATTGCACTGCTGGTGCTGGATGAGCCCGTTGACCTTCAGGCCCACATTCAACCGCTTTGTCTACCTCCGTCAGAAACGCCCAAGCTGTTGGCGGAGTTGCACAGGGCCCTGTGCTATGCCACAGGTTGGGGTAGTCGACTACCGGACACCAACCAGAATGAGCGACAGCTAAAGCGTATAGATTTACCCATTGTGAGCAAAGCCGAGTGCCAGGGTAATCTGAGACTCACACAATTGGGTAAGCGTTTTCGACTGCGTCCAAGCTTTATCTGCGCTGGCGGCGTCAAGGGGAAGGATACGTGCAATGGCGACGGCGGCTCACCGTTGTTCTGCACCTTGCCCGGACAGACCGATCGCTATCAACTAGTGGGCATTGTTTCGTATGGCGTTAGCTGCGCCCAGGAAGACGTACCAGCCGTCTACGCAAATGTTCCATACCTACGCAGTTGGATCGATGAGAAAGTGAATTCACTGGGCCTTGAATTGGAGACCGTTTAAGCCATCATTATCAATCAATATCGAATACTTATAAAGAATGAATGTTTATGCCCTGGGAAGCTGTCCAATAGAAAATTAATAAGAGGATTAGGATGCAGTAAGTTCGATGCTCTTGCCTTTCTGCAAAACCTGGTAACTATGTCAATAACCCATGTATTCTGATTAAATAATTTAATCGCTATTGTACCAACAAATTTTGAGTATAGAATTGAAGATGATCCTTAAATAATTGCTTCGTTACCCAGAATCAGAAATAGTTTCGCTTATTAACTCAACTAATGTAAGAACTAACGCATTCTAAGTATAGGCACATGCCAATATTTAAGCACATGTTCTGTTTATGTAATCAGTTTTAATCCAAAACAAGCAAATTTATTGCCACTATTATTGGCCGTTGAGTATAACAAAAAAGAGGAAAGAGGCAAAGTATCTATGCGCCCCCAGCTCAAAATAGAAATAGCTGAGTCGCAGCATATTGTAGCTCGCTGGCCGTCAAGGAATTCTCAATGTTGCCATAGCTGAAAATTAAGTGGGTTTTGCAGCACGGGCCAACAAAAAATATAAAAAAAAAAAAATGAAACAATGAAGACTGCCTTGGATGGCGAACCGAAAATTGAGAAATTACATGCTGTGAAATAGCTGGGGAATTGATTTTCTGGTGGCGGTGGTGCTGCTCGCCTCCTGATGCGGCTCCTCCTGCGGCTCCTCCTGCGGCTGTTGCTGCTGCTGCTGTCGCTGGCGACGTCTTCGCTAAAAACCCATTTCTCAAGTAAATTGCTAAGAAATGTTATTTATTGGCGTTTTTCATGCACATGCAACTTGCTATGCTCTAGTGCAGCCCGCACGCTTATCGATTTTCCTACAGCAAATATTCGCCTCTATTTTGGAGTATTTGCATTTGGCCCTACGGCTGTCCGTGCACTGGTCCAAATTCACGCCTGATTAGCTTACATTCCTTGGTCTCCGATATCAAATATTTACCAAATTGATTATCATTTAATTATAATAAAGCATAATGTCCAATACAATTGCAAATGCGCACTTGTGTGTGTGTGAGTATCAATGTCTCTAACTGTGTGTGCCCTCGTGTGTTAGTGTGTGTGTGTGCAATTATGATGGCCATGGCCGCAATTGTGTTGCATACTTTGAGGCACATTTGCTCGCCGGCTCTAACGGCAGCTGCAGCCTCGCCTCTGTGTGCACATGGCATCAAATTACAAATGATGGCTGGCCCGAGGGAGCGGGGCCTTTCGAAGAGGAGGAGAAGGCGCTTGACAGAGGCTCTCTGCTTTGCGGCCAACCAACGGAAGTAGAAACAGATGCAAATGGCAGTTAGCAATGTGTGTGTATATTCCTGTATGTGTCTGTGTGTGTGTTTCTATGCGTTTGCTGTGCAACATGAAAAACAAAACATGCCACTAATGTTCAACAGAGCCATTCACGCATTCATACCTATGCTTATGAACAATTGACACTCGCTAATTGCACTGGAAAATCCGCTAAATGCAACCATTACTATTGGCTAGTTTTTTTTTATTGTATAACACTGCAACCAGTTTAGGGTTCCAGCGAAGTTCAATGCGAAGGAAAACACAGAACACGGAATAGAATAAATGTTGGCATGAGAACCGGACAAGTATCAACAAAATTTGAAGCTACAAATGTATCTCAATTGAAACAAGTCCATTTGTATTGGCGGACAGTGCGCCTCGAATGCTGTTGGAATGCTAATTAACAGCCCAAGAGTGAATTACGAACATTCCTTTCAAAAATGCAACAGCGAGGGCTGTCAGTCAAAAATGGGCCGGGGCCATTGCTGGTTTGGGGGCGCTCTGGTCCTGCAAAACAATTAAATGCATGCCCGCCTGTCTGGCCACATGGCGTATACGCAATTTGGCGCAGCACGCATTAAGCATGCGCCCCGTGTACCGGTGACAGCGACATGTTGTCAACGTTTTAGAAAATTTGTTATGCAAATTGCTTATTAACTTTATGGCTGGCTGTCCAATTGTCGCTTCTGGGGTGCCGCGCATTGCAAATGTACAACATTTTCAATTGTCAATTAGCGGAGGCCCTCCCATGAACACAAAATCGCTGGAGTATCCTATAAATTACAGGCTGTGTTTAAACCTAGCCCGGTTCATGGCAATAGAGTTCATCGACTTACATTAAATGCACATAAAATTGGCAGGCTTCGATTTTAATTTATGTGCCACAACCACGTACCTGTGCTGCAAGAGCCAGAGAGAAGGAGGGGCGACGATTCGAACACCAGAGCTGGACTCGAACTGTGCCTGGTTGCGCTTAGTGGGCTGCTAATGACATTGGCACTATCTGAAATGGCCTTTAGTTTAATTGAAAAATTTCGTTTTGTGTTAGCTAATGGCATCTGTGTAATTTATGACGTCAGTTGCCAGGATCTGAACATTTGCAGCGGCCTGCACTATACAGCAAACTGTAGTGGAAATTTTTTTAGTATATCAATAGCTGCAACAATCAAGAGTAATAGTTGCAGAGTTGGAACTTACGGTTCCAGTAACCCGAATAACCAGCTCTAACTATTTAGTCAACTGCTTGTCCAATTATAACTCTATTCCATTCAATTCAATTACAATTGCCTAGGACCTACATTGACAACATTCTTAGACTAGATCAGCCAGTTTTAAATAAGTAACTAAATTGTTACACTCGCAAGTTGATTTAATTTCACTTCATGCATAAAGCAAATCTTTATTATTATTTGCACTTAGAGAACTCCAGCGGCTGATGATATGTAACTTGCAGCTGGAAGCGGTCGCCGTCTCGACCCCAGTCATCGACGCTGTGATCCAGCTCAGGTTTTAATTAAAAAGAAGCCGTAACTGAAAAAGGTGGGGCCAGGAGCAAAAATGCTGGAGATGAAAATGGAAATACATTTTACACTGTGCGTCGAGGCGAGAATTTGAAGTGAGGAGTTTCGTTTGGCGGATTGCAGCGTTTTGTACGCTTCCATAATTCGCATGGCCTTTGTTTTGTTTGACTTTGATGGCTTTGAAGCGGGCGTGGCTTCTGCGATTTTACAGTCAGTGCATCATTTGATAAGCAAATATTTTAAAATGGTGCAGCATTTAACAAAGCGACGTAGTGCAAACAGAAGGTAAAACACCTTAGGGCCAATCGCAATGCCAATTTGCATTTACCGTAGCGTAAACACACACAGCCAGTGCACGAGCAGGAGCAGGAGAGGGAGCAGAGCGTGTGACGGCATTGGGATGTCAAAAGGTTATTTTGGATAAAATGATATTCGCATGTTTTACTTTCATTAAATGCGAATCGTGCAACGCGTCGTATACGGAACGTGTTATTCTACGGCTACTTTTGGAGCCAGTTTTCATGCTGCCTGCTAATCGGCTGCAGAGTGCTTAGCTGAAAGTTAGTTTGGCAGGTTTGGCGTTAGGGGTAGGGGTCATCCTTCTCAGAGAGTAGCTGTAGCCCGTTGCACCTGCTGCGGAATGCCTGCAAAATGGCTGCGAAATTTTGCTGGCATGTTGTCGACATTTTTATGGCTGCCGCTACGAAATTCTACTTGCTGCAGACGCTGCCAGCCACTTGGTTGCCCAATTAAAAGTTTTAGCACATTTTCACTTGAAATTAATTGTCGGTAAACGTAATTCATGTCCGAGACACGAATGCGAAAGCAGCACCCAAGCGACAGCAACATCAGCAGCAACAACAACAACAACAATAAGTAAGACACGGACCACATTTTTTGGGGCGCACTTGTTAGTGTTGCCAAGCACACGAACACACCCATACACCCGACAGATTGTTGCTGTTGTCCTGCATACTGATGTTGCAGTGGGGACTTAAATTCCAACAATTTCACTTTTATGCTCAATACAAATATTACAGCATGCTTTTATATACATCATAAATATCACTTTCGGAATTTAATTGCTGTTGCAGCTGTTACCCATCCCCGGCAAGTCGTTCAGTTCCCGGCCAGCCCGGCTACGGAGCGTAATCCGCAGTTTAACTAAGAAATATTCAGCTAAGGACAAAAAAAAAAGGAATGCAAACTGCAATTAAACAGCTCGAAACAATGCAAATGAACTGCGAGCAATGCAAATTATGCAACAACATATTTATAAGCACAAACAACAGCAGCTCGCCGCGTTGCAATCAACAGCCACGCCTCTTTTGCGCTGCATTGTTGAGAAAAAAAATAAAAAAAATGAAACGGAAGTAAAAAAAGCAGTCGACGAACTGCAAGAAAACATCCGCTAACCTAGTCTGTGGGAGGCCTCCCTCTCTAAGATTGCTTGGCCGACTGACATCGCCGCCGTTGTTTGTCTTCAACGGCATTAGGTTCCCTTAATCTATATGCAAATTACGCTGCCCCCTTGCACAAGTGTGTGTGCGTGTGTGTGTGTGTGGATGGGCGTGTGGTTGTTTGTGCAGAATACGCACAAAGTGCTACATGAGCTCACCCCCAATCGACAGTTGAGTCATGCCGCAGTCAAAACCGCAGTTTGTTGTGTGTAGCTTCAGTTAGAAATTGTGGTGACTCCTGACCCTTGACCAGCTCAAGCTTGAACCATACTCAAACTAACCCAGCTGCAATTTAACTGGCTCAGCTGCGAAGTCAACTCGGTAAGCCTTTGCAAATGCATCCTAAAGGAACCATTAAACATAATATTAGCACTCTACTAGTTGCATTGTGATCTCATGCAAATTCACATGTCACAATTTTAATGAAATCAGAACAAAATCTAATTACAAAGGAGCTTGTCCTGACGCTGACCAACGTGCAGCCTAAGCCGTAAAAGTTTTTGAGTTGAAAGTGAGCACTAAGGCAGGATTTTGGAAAATTCGACTCACAGGCTATGATCAAAGTTTGTATGAAACACCTCAAAAACAACGCAGACGTATAATTGTGCTTGGTTTAGGTGCTTGACCAAGAGGTTTTCAGTTAAAGAAAATGATGAAATACATAAATACTATTTATGTATATGTATTTTTTAACAAAGCTTGGGTACATTTCCATGGAAGATGAATCTTGTTGGAAGATCTCATTGTTAACTCGTTCTGTTCGTATGGAGAAAATAATTGTCAAATTTCAAATCGGTACGAAAACTGATTACTACTTATATATATAACTGTATGTAATAAATAAGTAATAGTGCAAAGACATTATCTATAACAAGTGCATCAATAGACTTTATTATAACAAGCTCTACAGTTTCCATTTTAAAGTATCAACGGCATCTTGATGAATAACGATATTAATTATTCACTTTATATAATATTTAAGCAAGTGAATAGATGAAAATTGATTTATTTTTTAAATTGCCATATTAACTAAAAAGCGAATAAATTAACAAAACGAATGGTTCATGACCGAACAAGTGAATTTAATCAGTTCGCGACTCGGAAATGAGCGATTAAACTTATTTACCAAGTCGAACTAAAAGTCCAAACGATATCATTGATTGAAGCGCGCCGTTACACAACACGCAAAAGCTGTTTCCCAGGCAAAGTTTCATTTCTCTGCATTACGCTTTCTTTCGACAAAATGTAGCTGCTTCATTTGCCGACTACTCATTGTCTATTTGCCATGCGACTAGGGCAAAACAAAGCTCTTGAGGTGCTTCAATGGGCATCAACACATCAACAGACAAATGCACTCATATAATCAAACACACACACACACACACATACATTCACATGGATCCCATGCAAGTCAGCTAATTATGTCAATTGCAGAGCTCGGCCTGACACTTGCCAGCAATTGCCACTTTATGTTAAGTTTCGCACTGCGATGCATGCGGAAGGTGTGGAAGAGCACTGGGCGTGACAGGGACTGCACATACTTTGCATAGTTCGGTGCATGTCAAAGAACGGCAAAAATCCAACAACAATTCTCAAGTAGTTCAAGGAGAGTGTTGCATGTTGCACGTTGCCAGTTAATGATGAAGCGAGGCGCCGCAGGCAA